ATAAATCGACATTAGATTAAATGTGTTTTTTCGTTGGCCGAAAAGTATCCATTTTCGTACGTTTCTCATCTAGCAGTTGACGCTCAATAATGGACTTGTAATCCTTGATGGAGTTGAGATCGTCTGGCCGGTGGAAGAGTATCAGGAACGGCAGTCCTTCTTCGGTAAGCTCCTCGGCATTCTCAAAGGTTATTTCCCTAACCAGCGGCACACACTTTTCCTGTATCCATATCTTCAGTTCATCGAAATTCTGCAGGCTGCCAGTGTAGGTCTCATCGTTCTCATGCGACAAGGCCACATCGGGTCTAAACACAATGATGGGGGTTCCTATGTAATCAAATCAGAGAGCGAGGCGATGATCAATAATGAATCGGAAAAGGTTGATTTTAACGTTTATCTTACCAGGTGGATGCATGGCCTGTGAGGCATCACCGAACCCCACATGGAACTGGCAATCCTCTTTCAAATTTGTGGCCACCTTGCGGAATGTATCATATTCCGGCTGATCCCTGCGATCAAAGTAGCCCAATATGAGGCGTTTCTTAGAGTCCAGATTCTCCAGTTCCTTCAGCGATTTAAACTCCTGTATGGGATCCTCCAGTTGCTTTTTGACAAACTCCAAGAAAGCATCCGCCGAACGCTGGCCGCGATATTCCCGCTTGCTAAGCTGTCCATTTCGTACAATTTTCAATGTTGGATATTTATTGATATGAAACCGTGAGGCAATGGCCGTCTCCTTGTCACAATCCACTTTGCCGAGCACCACACGACCAGCATCCGGGAATTCCGCCTTGATCTGTAAGCAAATACACATTAATCTTGACAACGGATTTTGAGGATATATATATTTGGCTTACCTTGTCCGCAGCTTCACTGAATATGGGGGCTAAGATATTACTAAAACGACACCATTCGGCATAAAAATTAAGGAAAACCAATTCATTAGATGCTGCAAAAAGATACAAAATGATAGACATTAGTCATTAAACCCTAAACCAACATTCACACAGCTTCTTAATTGAGGAATTGAGGTTGTTGTTCACTGGGAAGATAAGATAAAGAAAACAACTCCTCTATAGAAAGTCAATCTGTCAAGATTTTAGCCCTATTCCATACGCTTATGTTCCAAGTAATTGTAGTAATGACTCACTCACGTGGCAGTCAAGTGTTTATGATATGAAAGGAACAAGTGTGAAACCAGATGTGTGTATATAAAAAGGCAAGATGATATTGTATCCGCATTAACAGAGAAAACTCAAATTGTTATAATATCCAACTTAATTTCTGTGGAAACTTTATGATTTTTAGCCCCTGTTGTTTTTGTTTTTAGACACGTTGGCAGCAGGTCGCGTCAATACGCCCGCCAACAACAGACCAATTTACCGGGCCAATGGCTTTTTGCGTGAAACTTGTGACACGTCAATGCCCACCAAAATGTTGGCTAATTGATTTTCTGCATTTTGCTACGCAGCGGATGAACCGTACCCACCACTTGGAGCCTTACCTAATGTCATATCAATGTTTTCACTGGTCATGGGAACCGCTCCCGCCGCATCTGTGGCCGCTGGATGTTGGAGGATATGAAGTATCTGAAATTATGCATAGAATCGAGCAACTTAGTTTGCAGGCATTGCAGTGCTGTGTAGTGGTGGGATGATATGTCTGGGCGTGAAGTGATAGACTGACAGGCCCGGCGGGCGGGCGACAGCATCTTTCGAATTATTTTCATGCCTAAGCCGGGTGACCGAGCGCGCGACTGCTGCCGTCGACCGCCGTCTGTCATCGTCGTCGCCCAGCCAGTGTGTTTTCTTCGGCATTAGAACACGTCGACTCAGAACACTCACCGCTAGCAGAGCCATGCTGGGCCCCAGCTTTTGAATTCTTGCTTCAATCATTCTGGGGTACTGGCTGTGGGTGGAGGGACTGCGACGAATTGCACACAGAAATGGACACCAAGTTATTGAATTCGAATCAGTTCGGCATGGATTCGAATGGAAATATGCCTGCTGTCGCACTGCAAACGTAGTACAATAAAAAAAAGTTTCAACAATTTGGCTGGTTGATAGGGCTGCAAAACCATCGATGGCACTATCGATAGTATCGATGGTTGCAGAATATATCGTTTCAGAGGAAAAGTAAAATTTCGAAGTTTAAAATATGAACTAAGCGAATTTATGAACATGAATAGTACTACAGGCCGCAGAAAACAGTTTGTGCTCGAAATAATTTCTTATCGGTTTCATAAGAATTCTATAATATTCTTTTTTCCAAGGGTTGCTGCAAAGAACCATAGCGCATTAGAAGAATATACCTACAAACTTCTTTGTAATGCTTTAAGCCTGTAAATATAAATCTTTTGTTGTATACATACATACATAATTTATTTTACTAACTAAATTAATCTATTATAGATGGTGATCAGGTGGCGCCTGCATCAAATGTCTCGGAGCAATATTCGGGTGATATTTAACCTGAACATCTAACAGAGCATTTGTTCGGTCGCTCCCCCGATTGACAATACGTCCCTCGGGACATGTAACATGACGAGCTATGTAGTCTTTTAGATTGTGGGGCACCTAGGGAACTACGTTAATCTTTAGTTTTTTGAAGGAAAGAAATATAATTAATCTAAAGAATATAGACTCCGGGGACCAAAAAACTTAAGTTACTTACCCCTCAAGCACTGGCGCTGTCTCTGCCACCGAATTAGGTGGTTCAGCTAGACTCGTTTTTTTTCGCCTCGGCGCTGCGTAATCGAAATTATTTTTGAACTGTTGGCGGATCGTCTCCAATATGGGCATTTCCGCGGTTCGCAATTGTATGTTCGCACGTTTTTGATGCACAAAAACGGTTGAAAACAAAAATTATCTTCACCTTTGTTTTTGCCATTGATAGCGTTTTGTAAGCTCTATGGTTAGTGCAAATTATACGGTTCATCGAGTTTTAATTTTCATAATAATTGCCAAAAACATGCGGTCGCGAATGTACGCGAAATAGACGTCTAGTAAAATGCAAAAATCTGCGAATTGGAATAAATATGATAAAGCAATTAATTCACTTTTAAAGAGGATTAATGTAGCTTTCTATCGAAATTCTACATAAAAAATTATCTCTATTGGTTTTTTTTAATTGAATTAAGTACCGGTCGCGAACTTTTATTTTTATTACCTCACATTTTGCCATGAATCACTTAATTTTTCCTAGGAAAACAACTTTATATTAAATTTATTGTGTGTAGTAACATTTATAACCAGAAAATTTAATTTATATATCTCTTACGTTTTTCATTATGTGCGAATATTTATTTTCGTGTTAAAAAAGCAAAAGTAAAAGTTTAAAAAAATGTATACCTACGGTCGTGAACGTACGCAATTTTGAAAAAAAAAGTTTGTTTAAAAAGTTTGTTTAATAATAACCCCAAAGTGTTATTACAATTTGTTTTACCAAACTTTTTTTACACGTCTTGTTACAGCCACCTGCTTGCATTCAATGCGATTCAATTACAAAAAAATGGTGAATTTAAATATAAATTAACCGTTAATTCAAATTTTCCTCGGTCTCTGCATTTTTCTCTTCTAAATAGATTGTAACAAAGGGATTTAGCAGAAAGAGTGCGAGCAAAAATATATATATATATATGTTTCATGTGAAATAATTAAATTAATTAATAACACTAGTCAACACGATTCCTCAAGGAACAAAACGAACTTTTCTTAAAGATTTGGGGCTTAGAAATGGTTTGATGATATTTTTTTTTTTTTATGGCAGAACTTTTTTTTAAAGAATTTTTGAAAACTGGTATTTTTTTTTAAAGCTTTTTTCAGAGGTAACGCTTGTTTTTTTCACATAACTCTAGTATCTTACGTCTGGTTGTAAAGAACTTTGCTATTTTGAAAAGATAATTGACGCAGCTAGAAGTTGATGCCAAACACTTTGTGATTTCAGCTTACCGTCTGGGAAATATAAAGCATTGAAATGCAAAAATGATGATTTTTGTGGGGTATTTTTTACGAAATTTTGACTTTAAAAACTCAGGAAAAGTCGAAAAAAAATTATATCTTGTATTATCTATTTTTTTGTGTATGGCAGAACTTTTTTTTAAAGAATTTTTGAAAACTGGTATTTTTTTTTAAAGCTTTTTTCAGAGGTAACGCTTGTTTTTTTCACATAACTCTAGTATCTTACGTCTGGTTGTAAAGAACTTTGCTATTTTGAAAAGATAATTGACGCAGCTAGAAGTTGATGCCAAACACTTTGTGATTTCAGCTTACCGTCTGGGAAATATAAAGCATTGAAATGCAAAAATGATGATTTTTGTGGGGTATTTTTTACGAAATTTTGACTTTAAAAACTCAGGAAAAGTGTCAAAAAAAATTATATCTTGTATTATCTATTTTTTTGTGTATAAATGCGTTAATTTGGCGTCGTTTAAGGTATCGCTCATTAAGATCTATGGAGACCGGATCAGGTACCAAATGTACAACCCTTGCTCGTTTGCTTTGTTCCCAATTGGCAGTTGGGCCCGCCGCCTTCAAAAAGGTATTTTTTGTTCATTCCATATTTTAGGTTTGGTTAACGAATTTTAGCTCCAAAGTGTCTCCATAGATCTTAATGAGCGATACCTTGGTTGTTGTCAGGAGGGGGCAGGGGAAGCAACTGAAAATTAATTTCTTCATTCTGGCTATAATTATGATCCGATTAGGATCAGATTCGGCAATCTTGTAGATATGGGCATTCCCTACGATACTGCGTTTTTAGTTTTATCGTATCTTTAAAAATGTGCCTGCCACAGATTTTCGTTCTTTGTGTGGGCGGAAGGAAGACAGACAGACAGACAGACAGACGGACAGACAGACAGGCTATATCGACTCGGCTATTGATGCTGATCAAGAATATATATACTTTATGGGGTCGGAAACGTTTCCTTCTCTGCGTTACACACATCCACTTTTACCACAAATCTAATATACCCCTTAACTCTTTTTTGAGTACGGGTATAAAAATACGATGATTATGAACATTTTATTTTTTGGCCTTGGTTGACCATTCGGCGGAAATGTAGAAGGAGTGGTAGTAACGACGGAGCAGGCGTATACAGCTCTTATGGTCTTGCAGGATATCGGCTCTTCGCTGCTCTCTTGCTGTATTCGTGGACCAGCTCAAACATTAGCTGATCGAAATTTATGCATTTGCTGAAGGTAGGAAATGTTTCATTCAAGTGGTACAGCGTGGGCGGATATCCGCCGACGCTATCCCGTTATCCCTTCTGCATCATGCATAGTGAGAAACTTATCCTTGATTAATTGAGAACATGGCTTCTGCTTAAACTGGTATCGCTCGTGGACACTTGCGTCCATGTAGAAGGCATTGTAATACCACCTAGTACACTCGTCCAGCGTTTTGTTGACTCCATCTACATCACCATTCCCAGCTTGGTCGCACTGAACCTCGATTTCAATGTCCCGCAGGATCGTTAATAGCCTTTTAAATTCCTGAAAAGATACTGCATCCCTGCAGAGAGAATACATTTTGTATACTTTTTAGTTACTTAAATTAAGCGAAATTCCATAATTTATTGGTAAACTTACTGTTTATCGTCTGTTCATAGGAGCTGCGGTTGGAGTTCGACCGCCTTAGACAATGTTGGACTCGACTTGAGGCCCACTTGACCTAGATGGGGTCAGACACGCAGGACACACACAAGACAGTATACATGTGGCAATTGTGTCCGGTTTCATCAGAAGCAGCACATCTCGTAAATAAATAAAAAATGTCCCATTGCTGCCGAAGTTTCTTAATGAAAGAGAGTACACAGTATAAGAGAATGGTATAAGCAATGGGCGTTTTAGTCTTCCTAATGTTGAATGGTAAATGATATCACAGGGTGGGAGGTACGTTCCTCATTCATTGATCATGGGCGTATGCGAGTGGATGCTTTCATCACTACACTACCTTTACATTCCCCTTTGTAGTTACCGTTAACCCAGCCATCGCTCCTCGCTTATCTTAAAACTTTTTCTCTGATGCAATCACTCGATTAAAAAGCGGACGCTCCCAGCCCACTTGAGCGTTAAATGCCGTCTATCGATCAAGGCGTAACCCATGCCCATGCTTATGGCCACAACATAACTGTAATTAGTACACAATTCTGTCCCTTCTCTGTCATTATCAGCGATATGCTTCGATATGCGCGATATGCTCCGGTTCTCGCAAATCGCTAAAAGTTGCGACTTGACAGTCAAATCGTAAAAAAGCGTGCTCAGGTTTTCGCAAATCGCAAGATTGAGACCGGTTGCTAATGAGCTCTCGATTTCAAAATAAAAACTTGTATGAGCGGTAACAAATTATAAACAACTCTGCTGATGTTTTAAGCCTATATTTATATTTATTTTCGTGTATCCTAATATTTTGAATAAATATATTTCTACAGGTCCCCCAATTTTACCTCACCAAAATAAACATAAACAACAAAATGCGAATTCCCATTTAACCGATAAAATATCGATATCAATATCGCTTGGGATAAATATGTCGGCTCTTCTCAATTCACCCATTTTTAGTTTGTTATTTTTTTGTTATAATATAATGCGATTGCCAAAATTATGTCATATTTAACTAAAATATTTCCATTTCGATACCAAAGAAAATTTGTTTAAAAGATAAATATCGGAAAATAATTTGAGAGATAGCAAAAAGTTACGAAAACCGGAGCGCACACAATTTCAGTTCGTACAAATTGTTCCAAAATCGTAAACTCAAAAATTTACGACAACCGGAGCAAAGCTTGAATATCACTTTTTGTAGACAACAAATTTAGCTGATCTGAGTACTGGACTTATGGCCCTTTTTGCTAGCAAACATTTATAGGAACTGACTACTAGGCTTTAGTCGAACTCTCCGCGATATTAAGAGTCTAAATATTAAAACAGAAATATGGAAGCATTTTGTTTAGACTTTGTATACAAACACTGGATAATTCGATTTGGTACAAAGTGCGTTCACAGTTAATTAAATCACGTTTTTCGTGTGATCAATAAGAGACTATCGATATTCAGATATCGATAGGCGCAATCACATATGTGATGGAACAATATTTGCGAATCTTTGTTTATAATAGCTGACGTTTATGGATTCTATAGTGGTAAATAGAGCAAGCAAAAGCAAAAACTAAACGCGTTTTTAATTCGGAAATAAATTTGAATAGTATATGTGCATTCCAAAGACGTTTTACCAAGGTTTTTTTGTTTGGCCACAAATGTGTGTGTGTGGTGCGTACATGCATATACATATGTACGATTGTTTTGTGTTATTGTTGCGTTCGAAATATCGGAATATGTACATACAAACATACGTATAAATATTTAATTACTTTGTTTATGACAACATAATTCCGTCTTTGGCATTGAACAACTAAAGCAACAAGGATCTAACCGAACATTTCAAGTACGATAATTGCATTATTTTTTCTCAACTTCAAACTTATTGGTAATGGAATTCACGATAATCTAGCAGTAACTTACAAACATACACCCCATATGTACACACATACATACATATGTATGTAGTGCGCACCTTCACTCGATTGCAGCTGTATGCCATACATATGTATGTTCGTATGCATTCCGCATTATCTATATTGCCACCACGACATACAAAACAAAATTAACTTCGATTTGTTCTAAAGGTGTTGGTATTTGTTTTATTTAGTGCGCTCAGAATGTATGTATGCTAAATTCAAACATTCACACAGATATGCATATGTATGCATGTATGTATGTACATATGCAGATACATTGTATAAGTGCCCCCGCGTCGCGAGACACTGAACGGAGGAACGCCACAGATTGCCGACGTCTCATCCAGTACCGTCACACACACACACAGACTCAGGCATACACAAAGCATACGGAGTATCGGATGGAAAGTTCCGTAAGATTTGGGGGAACAGGAGAGGAGACACATTTCCAAGACGAGAAAGCATGAGAAATCTATCGAATCCCCCTACCTGAAAACTCTACGTACGTCAGTGAGAAATATGAATGTATGGGCAAAGTTCACTCCAGTGATATAGCCAGGACATGGCTGGATAAACTCTCATTCTACATATGTACATATGTATGTAGATTATCGGAATGGGGCGTGGGGTAACAAAAACCTGCCCCTAAATGATCTCGATCTCAATCGCAAACCCAAACATACATATGTACAACATTGCACAATAATACATACATATGTACGAATGCACGCACTTGTAGTATGTCTAGATATATGTACATATATACATACATACTATATGTATATGGTTAGAGAATGCTAACCGGATTTTTGCACACACAATCGCCTAATGAGAGCAGATATACATTAAATATAAGCAATAAATAATACTGTATACATTATATATAGTCTTATTTTAGCCGATTCACACAATGTCAGATGGATCACCGCCTCCATCGATTTGCTTTATACGCGCCGCCGAATCTTATCCAAAATCACAAATGGAGAAGGAAGACTCGCAGCTGTTTGTACCATTTCCAGAACGTATGTGTGGCCAGAACAGAAAGTTCCATTAACATCCATATTCACACTTTCGACAATCATTCTTTTCAACAGTTGCTGGCGAGTCAATCAAGTACCTAGGACGCACCGATGATGGCGTTCTGGCGCTGTCCAATTATCGCATATTTTTATCAAAAAAATCAACCGCATACGAGACTTATGTGCCCTTGGGTCTGATCGAATCGGTGCAGGTGCGTGACCTGTTCCAGCTGATTGTCAATTGCAAGGATGCCAGCACGGTTAGGTGCTCCTTTCAGTCCGCCGAGCAATGCTCGGAATGGCAGCGACGCATTCAGTTGCTAATCGGTGTACCTGTATCGCTGGAGACACTCTTTGCCTTCCCCTTTTACTCGTGGACCTGCGACATTATAGGGACATCCAATACCCATGCCCAGGCGAATGGTAATGGCCATGGAAAAGAGCGCATTCCCTTGTCAAATGGTTCTGGATTTGGATCTTGTGTGAAACCTCCTGCCTTATTGAGTGAGAACTTTCCATCGGCCTGCGAGATAGCAGCGTCGCAGGCAAACAGTCGCTTGCAGCGTGAGGTACGATATGAGAGTGATTTCAAGAACGAGGTGGCACGCCTGGGCTTCGATCTAAAGGGCTCGTGGCGAATCTCGACAGCAAATGCCGACTTTAAGCTCTGTCCATCGTATCCGCCAAAATTGCTTGTTCCTTGCTGCATAACCGACGAAATGCTTCACAATGTGGCCAACTTTCGTGGTTCACGGCGTCTGCCGGCCGTCGTCTGGCGACATCAGAAGTCAGGGGCCATATTGGCACGCTGCAGCCAGCCGGAGGTCGGTTGGTTGGGCTGGCGGAATACCAAAGACGAGCAGCTACTGAAAGCCCTGGCCGATGCTTGTGCCTTTGACAGAGGCGAGCATAACAGACGACAGACACAACCCACAAAGCCCCAGGCCCCCGCCCACGCCCACGCCGCTGCTTCGAAGGACACAAATGGGCAGTCAAATAGCTCCGGCAATAGCTCACCATCGCTGGATGACTCCTCCTCGCATGAAGAGCTGGCCCTTGACGAAATACGAGTAAGTTTTTGCACTTAAACTTTTCCAATCCGAAATCTGTATTCCATTTTCATTAAATTTTAAGAAAATTCTCATTGTTGATGCACGAAGCTATACATCGGCTGTGACGAATCGTGCACGCGGTGGCGGCTGTGAATGCATTGAGTATTATCCATGCGCCGAAATCGAATTCATGAGCTTGGGAAACATTCATGCGATTCGTAAGAGTTTTCATGCGGTCCGTCAGCTGTGCGCCTCATCGCCAGATGATCCAAAGTGAGTAAAAGTTTCCTCTTAGAAATTTCCTAGCATTTGAAGACATAAGGAGAACGGACAGGCGGCGGAACATGGTACCCGACTGTGAGATCTGATCTTCAGAAAAAGCCAGGCGCGAAAGAGGACGGGGAGGAAATAGGGAGGTCATTTGCACCTGTCCTGCTTTTCTGGGAAGGCACCACTGGATACTAGAAGTGGAGCAGTCTGGCTATCATTATTTATAGAAGGCTGAGATGGTTCAAAAAATCTGCATAATTAAATGACAAGAATGTCGAAATCTATTCTCCATAGAAATTAATTACATATATTATATTTTTCCAATTTTCTTTTTCCAGTTGGTTTGGACAGTTGGAAAAGACCATGTGGATGCAGCATTTGTCGGGTCTACTGGGTGCAGCCATGACCGTTGTCCATACCATCGAAAAGAACGGACGACCCGTGCTAGTGCACTGTTCCGATGGTTGGGATCGTACGCCACAGATTGTGGCCACAGCGCAACTGTGTCTGGATCCATACTATCGAACTGTTGAAGTATGTCCCTCAATTAATTCAATCCCTAAGCAACAACAATAATTAAAACCATATTTTTATTTTACAGGGTTTCCGTGTTCTGGTTCAACGGGAATGGTTAAATTTTGGTCACAAATTCGCTGATCGTTCGGGCAATGGCCCCAACTCTGATGAGGTGAACGAGCGTTGCCCTGTTTTTTTACAATGGCTGGATCTGGTGCATCAAATCCATAGACAGTATCCATGCAGTTTTGAATTCAGTATTGGCTACTTGGTAAACGATTCCCACTGCCCTTAAGGGTCAATCTTTTTCATACTTTCATAATTATTTTTTTAGATAAAACTAGCACAACACTCGCTTTCCTGCCTGTTTGGCACTTTCCTATGCAACTCGTTGAGGGAACGCATTGAGAATTCCGTTTTTGATCGTACGTTTTCAGTGTGGCCATTTTTAGCTGAAACTATGTATAGAAATCCACTCTATAAGCATGAGACTGAAAAGGTACGCTTCACAAATACATATAGTCTGGTGCAAATCGCTCTATCCTTCTCTCTCTCTCTCTGTATTTTTGTTTTCAGGTTCTTTGGCCAGCGCACAGTGTGCGGTTTTTATATTTTTGGTCTGACGTCTATCTTGGTAGCTTAGGCAACAAAAATGGTACTGATCTTCCATTACTAAGTAATGAACGACAAAGTGCCCATAATGGTAATTAAGTAAACGACTAGAAAACAGAACATTCAAGCATGACTTAAATCAAATCAAACAAACAAAAACCAAAAAAAAATCTTTCTAATCAATTACTACCCACATTTAGGTTCGTTGACAAAAACACGATCCTCTGAAGATCTAACAACGAATGAATTGGGGCAGAGCACCATTTCGAGGAGATCGAGTGATCCGAATTTAACCGTAGAATCAATGTGAGTATTGTGTAAAGCATATGAAAGCATTGAAGACATTCTCAGCACTAATTATACACCTATTTACAGTGTTTCGGAGTGCGCTTTAAATATGAATAGCAACTCGATGTTTGATATACGATCGGAGGCAGACAGGAGGCAGTGTGTTAGTGCAAATAATGTCCATGATAATGTTAAAGACTCCAAAGAACCAGAGGTAAAGCTTAAGGATGCCGAAGACGAGACAGATGCCAGTTGTTGCTCTACAAAGTGTACCTCCAAGCAGTTTAAAAACGACCAAAGTACAGCTTCTAACCGTGATATAATATGGGAAGCATCAGCGACAGTGCCAGAGCCCTCTCAGCTCCAAAACTCTGAAACCGAATACGCTGTTCATGCCTGTTCGAACGGTTAGCCCTATATAAAATCAGTTCTTTCTAGTTCTAAGAAATCTTTTGCTTACATTTAGATCGAGAACAAGAAGAAAAAAGTGATGCAAGCCGAGCTCTTTGGCTTGGCCCAATTGATAATAGTACAGATACCCTAATTCCTACAGAGGCCGTGCAACAAACGAAATCTGACAATAACCACCACGTAGCGCCTTTGGAGAATCACGTGATAAGCATGGACAAAAAGCCAAATGTGGTAGTAGCACCAGCCGCTGTCCTAAGTGCTCCTACCCCAAGCAATAAAATCAGTCAGAGCTACAATAATTTGCCTCGGGTACACAGCAAACCGAATACAAATCTGAATGCTGCTGCTGCTGCTACTACTGCACGCTGCACAAATACGACGCAAATAAAAGAAGCGAATGCACATTTTCCGCACCATTTGGATTTGCATGTGCCCAGCAGATGCAAGGAGGAACAAACAAATGCGAATGGTTCGATGATTGATGGCCATAATGCTGCTGATGAAAGCCTGTTCATGTCACCCGAGCTCCTGCCCACGCTGGGAAGTCGAACGCGCCGGAATACATTTGGTTCAAGCTACAGCCGGGATATTGGACATTTGAAATTTGCAGAAAATGGCAGGTGAGAGATTCACCTGAATACTCCCAATAGATGTAGAGTAATAAACTGTTAATGTGACTTTCAGCACACATAATTCCCCATTTACGGGTGGACTAATTTCATTGCCACCGACACCAGTGGGTGTTCAGGAACGGCCGCAATTCACAATATCTTGCCCCGATGGCCTGGCCCACGGCCTAAGTGAACAAAATATAAGACTTCATCAGATTGTTCAAGAACACAAGGTAATTGCGAATCTAATTGGGATTCTGAAGGTATATACTGATATTACCTTTGATTGATATATTTGTATTTATAGCAACGCGAAGAGGTACTACTACGGGAAATACATGGCATGCGTCTGGCTCTCTTGGAGAAAGGCTGTCCCAGCTGCAACAGCATCGTCTCGACAAATGTGGAACATGTAATTGCCCTTTAATCTGGTTTAAAAATTATCGAAAACCATATGTAGATTTGCGTATATTCTTGAGATAGCGAGAGGCTACCGTTTGGTCTAGCCATTTGTATCAGTATATTTGATAATATATGGAGTTTATTTTAGGCTGTACAAGGTCTCCAGATTGTAGCCTTAATTCATATTCTTTTGTGTGTGTTTTTTTCTTGTATAAACTTTTTCAGCCTTCCACAGTCTAATGATTTGAATCTCCTTTAGGAAAACGGATCGGATATCGTTGAAAATGCTTCGACGTGTTCTTGGGAGGCCGTCGAAGAGCGTAATGGCCCGTCATCGTATGCCCCATCTTCGATACAAGAGAAAAAAGCATCCAGCGTTCTCTGGGTACCAGATCATGCCGTTTCACGTTGCTCCAGTTGTCAAACTGAGTTCTGGCTTGGACGAAGAAAACATCATTGTCGGTGCGCATTACTCTTTTCAGTAATACCTACACACACACTCATACACACTATACACGTAGTTGTTTTTTTATATTTCGTTTAGTACTATTATTTTTTATTTTTCAAAAAAGAAAAGAACTATCTTACTTCTCTCATATCTTTTTGAAGCTGTTTACTAATCTAATCCTTGTAGTCCTTGTAGTTGGAAGAAGCATTTTAAAACTATTTAAATATTCATACCATTTATAGATTGATTTATTCAACTCTTGTTTTGAATCTCCTACTTCAAGAATAGTAGCTCTTAGTGGCCCATAAATTTGGTTTTGAAGCTGAGACACATGACTAGACTAATGCTAATCAAGAATATATACATAGATATATACATATATACATTAATCCAAGAAATTCCTCTGAAATCTGTTTATTTTACAACCATTAACTTTAACAAAAAATATTACATTTAAAGTATTACTATTATTTTCTAATTTTAAATTTACTTGTGTTTTCATTTCAGATCATGTGGAGAAATTTTCTGTGCTGACTGCTCGGAATTTTGGGCCCCTTTGCCGTATGAAAAGCTTTTCAATCCCGTAAGGCTATGCGGATCTTGTTATACTACAGTCACATCCAATGTCCATGAGTATGCTGCCGTGCCTTCCGACTCTACGGACTCCAATGAAAGAGCGGCAAGGCCTTCTGCCAGCTCCTAAGACAAGCTTTCATTATGCTGTGGGTTGCTTGCTGCTCCTCCTCCAGCGTTGTATCGATATGTACATATAATACATATACTCAACAAACAATATTTATTACATATGTATGTGTTATAGCACCATAATAGCGGAAATTCCTTTGTGCGATTGTAAAGAACACGAAATTATACAAATTTTGTTAGATATATATTATGGATATATGGACACAAAATGTAAATTTAAATACAAACTTAAAACAAAAGATTTTTGTTATTTATTAAAGCGGCTAGTTATTTTTGTACATATGCATATCTTTAGTTTCCTACAGTTTCAAACAAGTTCTTGTAAGGAGTAACATACCTTTTTACTAGTGCTGGCTGTGACTGTTCTTCTCCTCCCTCTCCGTTAATTGGCTGTCCGTTATTCTCGTCGTTTTCCTATACTATTGATGTATTAGTCCTCGTGGAAGAGTGATAAATTATGTTCAAGTAAAACAAGGTATAAAAATATCCTAAATATAGGCAATTAACATTAAAAATTTAACGTAATCACAAGAAAGTTTAAAGTTGTGAAAGCTCACTAATCAAAAAGTAACTATTGAAATGTCACAATTTTTAAACCAAACGAAAGTTTAACCGTTTAACCGTTCCGGTACATGACATCAAATGTCCGATACCTACTTAGTTTATTCGATACGGCAAAATTGTCATCAAATTCAGTATCGTTTTGTGTATAAACCCATTAATGGTATTCCAACAATAGCTTTTCAAATCTATAAGTAAACAAGAATCAGCTGACAGTGAGTTTAATTGAAGAAAGACAATCTATAATATAAATTTGTAGAAAAAAATGTGTGTGTAAGTATGCAACTTATCTATAAATAGGTCCTTAAAAAATTAAAACAGTCAAAAAAATCTAATTGGGCCAAAAATGTGTGTTTGAACGCCCATTTCGTTTCATTTTGTGTCATTCTGTAGAACGGAACATTTTATGATAGATTTTGTTTTTATACCTTTTTGTGTGTTGTCTGAATGTATATTGGTTGCTTTTGATTATCATTGTTTAATTTAATATATCATTTAGTATAATCATACAAATTCAAAAAATCAAACTTTGATCTACTATTAGATATTATATTCAACGGTAATATTCATTACCAATGTTTATTTCTTCCTGTTGTAACATAAAATTAAAGGAACAGAATAAATATCACAAAAACAAGCTGTGCCATACTAAAACGGCTGTACGTGCTGGGAAACATTGTTTTGTCACTTTCATATGTATAGTGCCACAGATCTTTGACTGATACCATTATGGAGATGCCTCCCAACACTGATTTATCTATCCTGCAGACTAGTCTTAAAGTCGAGTGGAATATCAAACTTAAAAAGGTTAAAAGGTAGTTCTTACGTCCTTTTTATAGATTGTGGAATGGAATGAATGGAATTTTATATCCGAAGTAGATCAAAATTATCAACATAAATATATATCAGTAAAAAAAAACATATTACGAAAATAACTTATTTTTAATATGTAAGAATATTGATTTTTTTTAGGGCAATGTCCCTAATGGTTTGTAGCTTCCCTAAGATGATATAACATACATGCGCGGAGTGGAATCGAACGATTGCCGCAAGCGTAACCTCGTGTAGTAACATACACGCGGTCATACACGATGGTCTTTTTCGGTGCAACTCTGGTACGACACATTCGGAACTACAAGTCGGCGGCATTTCAGATTGCAGAGTCCGCCATTTTAGCTAAGAAATCTATAACCCCAGCTTCGTTGAGCACCGGGAACAGAGGTCAGTTGCAATTTGGAATTCAGTTTGTTCGCGAATATTCAAGAGCGTCGAAGATGAGCACTTTGCCTAGGGTATTTTTCGATATGACTGCCGATGGGGAGCCCCTCGGTAGGATTATCATGGAGGTAAGTTTACTTATTTTTTTTATATGTGCCAATAAAATGACTATCATTTAAAGTTCGTTTTTTTTTCTCTTTTTGTAAAAAGTGTTAATTTGACCAAGTGTGTGCATTAGTATGGATATTCATATGTATGTGTATGCATATTCACGTAGAAAGTTAACGTGCACTTAGATTTGAACACGTGATTTACAGATCGTAAATGAAACGGTTCCGGTTAAATGAACCCGTAAACTGTTGAAAATATAAAAAATACATTATAAGTGCATATTTTTATATAAAAAAGCATGCGCTTTTCAGCAAATTTCGGATTTACATATGCATGTATGTTATACACACGACATACATACACATGTAATTTCCATGTGAAGCATGCTTATATTTTCGGCTTTTACTATTAAATATATGTAGATATCATGTTCTTTTTTCATATACACACGCTACCCAATAATTAAATAAATGACAATGCCCTGGCGTGTGTGTATTTAGAATGCTCATTTTACGGCCAGGTGTGTGCAAAAAAGACCGATTTCCAGATACGTTGCAATGGAATTTTTTCAAATTTGATTGCGGTGCTCTGTATATGTTTGTATGCGCGTGCTCGTGTGTTTGAATAGTTTGCCGGTATTTCTATACATGCATACATGCGGTGTATACTGTATGCATGTGTGTGCTCATACACATTTAAATCAATACAGTGAAACATAACCTCTACGTTGGCGCACACACACATGGACATATGCACGACATACATACACACACACATATATATGCATGAGAATCTAGTAAACCCGTTTCACGAATGAACTCAATATTAATTCCGTTGATGATGTAATGGGGCATACGTGCATTTTTTTTTTTTTTGTTAATTTTGCGTATTTTTTATTCAGAGAGAGTTTAGCAATTGCATCGTAGTATATTTTTAGTAACAGCCAAGTCATTGCCCGGCATGACAAATAAAACCGATACATATGTATGCGTGTAATATTGCGTGTAGATGCCAATGGGCGGGCGCGCGCGGGGTGATGCCAATTTTGAAACCAGGCCCGCGCACTTTTACAGGCGAATTCGATGCCCAGACTCCCACGGGACCCATCTCTCGCTTTTTCACAGTTTTTACATACATACAAATGTATGTATAGATATAGGGATTTGTATATATATTTTGTATGATAAGAAAATATCACTTGAAATTGATTTTCTCTCACCAATGTGTACCCTCCTCTCTCTCTCTCTCTCCTCTCTCTGTCGGGGAAGGTAAAAGTTTTGAATTTAATGTTTTATGTATGTATATTCAAATAAATAATCAATAATCCTTGTGTCTTTTTTGAATAAATTTTCCAGCTGCGCTCCGATGTGGTACCCAAGACTGCCGAAAATTTCCGTGCGCTGTGCACTGGCGAGAAGGGATTCGGCTACAAGGGCTCCATTTTCCATCGCGTTATTCCCAACTTCATGTGCCAAGGAGGCGACTTCACCAACCACAACGGCACTGGCGGCAAGTCCATCTACGGCAACAAGTTCCCCGATGAGAACTTCCAGCTGAAGCACACCGGCACTGGCATTCTGTCGATGGCCAATGCGGGCGCCAACACCAATGGATCCCAGTTCTTCGTTTGCACCGTGAAGACCGCTTGGTTGGACAACAAGCATGTTGTCTTTGGCGAGGTGGTTGAGGGCTTGGACATTGTCAAGAAGATTGAATCTTTTGGCTCTCAGTCCGGCAAGACCTCCAAGAAGATCATGGTGGCTAACTGTGGTTCTCTTTAAACAACAATAGCAACAACAATCCAACAACAACACCATTATAACAACAACAAAAAGAGGAAAAATGTGTTAAGACGAAAACCATTTGCATTTTCTCCACAACAATTTTTTTTACGAATTACTTGTAATATTACGAAATACAATACAAGAAATAATATTTTCAATAGACCTTTGTTCGAATTCGAATGTTTCCCCCCCAGTGGGACAGGGACAGCACTCACAGAGATTCTTCTTTATATATGTAGGTATATTTTAATGGGGTGGCGAGCCGCATAAGTTTGGAATGTAAGAGGAGAGGAAGAATATGAGTGATTGATAAATTCCGTTGGGCTTTTAGCTTATAAGAGAAGATCCATTACACATCTACATAGCATAGATACTATATAGAAGAAGCTGCTGTTACGGGTTGTCTAGTCCCTCCTCATTCTGAAGGCAGGGCCGACTCGGCCCTGCGTTGTCTCGCGGGAGAGAGTTGAGTTGTGTGTATTGTAGATTTCATTCTAGTTCAAATGTCGGGAGTAATAAAAATAGTAATAAAATAGTTGAAAAAACAAAACTGAATAACCATGTAACTTCCACATTTCCATTGGAAAAAGGCCCCCACAACATTTTTGTGTGCCGCTGTTTATAATCAATTTAGCGGCCTAATCAAGAAAACAAAAATGTTTGTCGATTGATCTTAGCATAAAGCGCTTTCTAAAGCTAGTTATATCTACTATCTACACGTTCTACACGATATGTACCAGAATCAGAATTGTATTTTCGTCTTAATAAAAAATAAATAAAGGGTCCCCAAACAATCCAAATCCTAATACTGCGAAACGACGTTAATAAACTTTCTGGGAGGGCTCTGGTCTGGGCACAAAGCAAATTCTGAAACATGACTAATTTTCCAGCTGAACTGAAAAGAGTGGAAGCAATCCTCTAAATTACAAATCTTAACAAGAATTTGCGAAAGATAAGGATTTCTTTTTTGGTTTAATAGTAACAATTTTTATTGAAAGAATATTTCGGCACTGCTCAATGTGGCATAAAGTAAATTGTACTCATGCTCGTAGGCATTCACATGCCTTTCTGTGATGGCCACCGTCTGGAGTAGCTTCTCATCGACCGGATCCGTTGACTGTTGGCCCCCGAGTATGTCACGAACCTTTGAACGCTCCAATTCCATTTGCTGTTTGGTCGTCTGGCTCCAGCCCAACTCGTGGAACTCTCCCAGCTGGTTGAGCATCGTCAGTATGTAGATCAGCCCAATGGCAAAGCCATCCTCAAAGAGCGAGAACTTGGCCAGATCTTTCTTGTGGATTTTCAGCTTCTCCTTGACCCGATAGTCAATGTAGTTCATTATGAGGGCCGGGGCAATCAGGAAAAATGTCTTCAAATGATAATTGTTTGGATTGCACAAAAACGGCTGAAAGCCTTGCAACAGGAGCTGCAAACATGAAGTCCTTTCGTTTAAAATCTTTAAATCGAAAATCTATTTTTGTTGTTGTACCTTAAAGTAGTTGGTGCTGTCCGAATAGCACTTTTTCATATGATCCACACTCTTTTCGTACTCCTTGATGGCCGACTCTGTGGTCTCGTGCAGAGTTTTGGTGCCACCGCAAACGAGGCTGCTGTGAAATCTGGACATGTACGAGCGACTTTTATAGTTGGCGCTCTTGCTGCCCGCCTGCAGGAGGCGCACATAGCCAACGGAATTGCCTACAAAAATGAGAGACAGACAAATTATTAATATGGTTTTCTTTTCCCCGGGAAGTGCCAATGGTAACATACCAACTTGTGTTATCACCTTCCTGAATAGGTCCATGTACGTCTCGCCGTTGCCGGAGAGACCCAGCTTTTTAATCTTTTTGAGCAGGATGTCTGCCCGTTCATACGGATACGATTCGTTGGTATGCTTGTGCTCCGAGTGATAGCGCAGCTCCTTCAACAGACGCGACTTGATCTGTTCGTCGTGCAGGAATGTGGAGAATGTGTAGAACTTCTGGCGCAGGAACTGATAGATAAAATTCACGGTAGTATTGATGATGCCAGTGCCATGCGTTTGCACCGAATTGGCCACATGGCGGGTGCCAATGATATCCAAATGCTTGCTCCTGCTCTGCATCTCTACAAAGATCTGCAGATTCATGTTGTAGGCATACGAGGAGGCGAATGTATGGATATTACGCATGATCTGTAGCACATCTATGCCCTGCGTGGATCAAATTTAAGCTTCAATAATCATTAATCGTTTGTTTAGGAGAAATGCTGTATTACTTGGTCGATGATTTGGTTGGGCAAATGATCATCGATGGGACGCAGCTGGAGCACCTTGTCGGCAAGGTGGCGCATCTTCTCGTATGATTTCCAGTCGTGCGGTGCGATGGTTGTTAAATTGTAGAATGTTTCAGTGAAATAGTTCTCAAGATTATCTAGAACAACCAGCAGAAGTCTGTTTAGGTAGTGTGGCATGTACGATAAGATAGTATACAAATAATTGATTTTAAATGCATTTCAAGAGTATCAAAAATGTCCAGTACATATATAAAAATGTCATCCGATTCGGACGTACCTCTTAAAACGCTGTAGTCCCCTTGGAATTCCATAGCTTCAACATTTACACAGCTGCGGTAGTCTAGCAGATGCGTCTGAAACGGTTGATCCTGGTTCAAAAACAGATGCGACAAGGCCTCCACACGCAAAAAGAACTCCAGATGGGTCTTGAGAAACTCATTGGCCAGGTCACAGGCCGATTGCTTGGAGCTACCATCGCGCCTGAATATACCCAGAGTCTTGTCCAGCTGATTTGTCACTGCAATTATGTTCTATAGATATAGCTGGTTAGTCTCAAGCTGATTCCCAGTTGATCTGGTGACGTACCTGTAAACTGTAAGGATTACGCTGCTGCTCTGTGAACTCCTTGAGCAGAGAGGTGCTTATAAACCAGTAATTGTACATGAGACTGGTCGAATCAAACTGTCCCCTGATGTTGCGCTGGAAATCGCTGAGATTGTTGACGCGCAACAGTATCGATTGAAATTGCTTTTGCATGTCGGCCGGGAGCAGGCGATCCTTCTCCAGGAACTCGCTAAAGGCCAGATTCACAAAGGTCAAGCGTTTTTTGCTGGGCAAACCCAAGATGGATCTCTCGGCCAGCTTAATCGTTGAAAGAATGTTCACTTTTCGTTGCAGTAGCTTCAAATCCACGATCTTCTTCTTTGTGATCAACAGGAGATGCAGGGCCTTCTGTTTCTGCCATTGGACGAGGGAATTAACGTACCGCATCACATTGATTTGGTTCGACTCGAAGGTCTTTTGGAGAACTCTTAAATACTGAAGCAGACGGCACACAGTGAACCATTCGGACTTTGATAGTGGTGTCGTTAGGCCCACATGGCGATTAATTAATGAGTCCATCATTAGATTTACTTGATCCGCATACGATTGGCCCCTGAGGATCAGCTGCGAGAAGACTTGCAGCTGACCAAAGACACCGCTAGCAAACACCCTCTGTATGTGGATCGTCCACAGGGATATCTGTGTACCCAGAAGGCGGCACTTTTTCTGGTCGCTCAACTTGATCTTCTCCATGAGCGCGTGATGGGACTTGTGGTTATCTTGCGGCCTGCCTTGGGGCGGTGTCTTTATCAGCGTCTTGGCATGTCTGGCCAAAAAGGCAGAGGGGGACCAGCAAACACTCTGATTGAGGGGCAATCTTTTATGCCTGCTCGCCACATCCAAAACACTCTTTATCAACTTTGCCTCCATTTGAATGCCCAGCTCATGGAGCACTGCCACAAATGCTGTGAGACGTATCACATTCTTGGGCTCCTCGTAGTGTTTATAGTCGTTGCCATTGTTTGACTCAATTTCAAGCATTATTTTACGAATATATGCATTGGTATGTTGATTAATATGATGGACGTCTTTCAGGCTGAATTGCTTCTTCAGCTCCAGCAGACTGTTCAGCAGTATACCAAATAGATTGCCCGCAATCATTGTCTCTATATCACCGAGGGAGCTCAACAGGCCATTCATCTCCATGCTGCTGCATTGCTCAGTGGTCTCTTTGCTGTTGGACAGCGTCGTTAGCCACTTTTTATACAGAGTCCACTTGGGTGCAATCTTTGATTGATCCGCAATTTCATTAAAAACAACCACGTCTTCCAGCAGTTCAGTCATGGCTTCAAAGACAGTCTGTAAATACGAGACAAAGGAGATCTCTCTATCTTTCTTTGTTCGAAATACTTACAAATAAATGTACTTCGCTGATGTCCAGTGGCATGCCCGCCGATGCACTGATCTGTTTCCAAATAGTTTGTACCATCACAATAATCCGTTTGAGCAGAAAGTACACCTGACAGAAGAAATTCATAGCGCTGCTCATACGGTGTAAGCATCGCTCCAGCCCGGCAGTGTCGGATACGGCTGGCAGTCGGCCGTCGCCCAGTTGAGAGTCGTTGAAGAGGAATGCCAACTGATACTGCTTGGCCGTTAGGGACAGATCCCGACATTGATTGCACAGATTTGCCAAGGTTTTTAATGGCTTATTGGCCAGCAGCTCGGATTCCTCCACATTCGTGTCACAGTATGTGCCGCTGGCACCGCTGCCGTAATTGAGTTCTATTGGAGATGTCATGGCCACCACCGCCACAGACTCGACCGTATTTAAGCTAAGCATATCATTCCTTAATGATTTCATTGCGCCATCGTGCTCCTCCATGAACGAGCCGTAATCCCTGAGGATATCCTCGGCGAACAAAGCTGTGGCAACGTGGAAAACATCACACAATTAAGGTATTCAGAGTCGGGAAATAAAAGTTAACATTCTTACATATGGTACTTTGCTCATTTTTCATGGTTGATGGCCTGGCTCCGGTAAATGTTGTTTTTGTTTTTGTTTTGTTTTGATTTTGCTATATTAGTAATTTAGGGATGGACGATTTCAAGTGGGTGCATTTCGATGTGATTCCGACAGCGCAGTTATCGAACTATCCACCCGACAAATTTTTCAAAAGCCTTGAGCAGGCTGATGGTGGCGTGGATGTTTGGTGCTTCTCCGATTCCTTTTGCGGCCACTAGCTGAATGTTAGCCAATCACAAACGTAGCCCATTGGGATGGTACTTAATGCACGTATATTGTTCTTCGAGCCTTCATTTAATTACTAATCAGCAGTTGCTTGTGTTGCTGCTGCAGAGGCAGGTTGGCCAGGTCTGTGGAGGTCAGTCAGAAGTATCGCATGTCGCTCGGGCAAGACTGAGGGTGCACAGCAGGAAGACCAGAAACAGCTGCCCGTCGGTCAACGGAAAGCATATTTTCGACAACAGGGCGCGCACTTTCGCCGGCAGCACAGGCCATGCGGATGTTCTACACGAGCCCAGGACAGATATCAGCAGCGTCCACAGAATCAGCAACTATACCGCCAAAGAACCCACCAGTCCCATCATCCCCAAAGAACCCAAGGAAGATATCAACCGCCAGGAGCAGAAGCATAAAGCACGGAACTCTGGGAAAACCAGGTCCAGTAACTGTTGATGTCAATTTGGATAAAATGCCAGGGTGCCTGGCATCACTAGAGCTTGAAGTCATCGGAGGCAACTTGTAGCTGCAAAAATGTTATATTGCTATTTTTCAAATGCTTCAACAACCGATTCAGCCATTACTTACCTTTCCAGGGAGTTCATGTCGACCTGCAGGAAATTAGGTCTAGATTTTAGTGCTACGTACGACCTCCTGTGCAATATGCAAGAAAGAAAATTTTCGAATAATTGAAAATTTGCCGGATGGTTAGTCAAAATATACATACTTAATATGCTTTGCTTTCAAATTAGTTGTTCAACCGAGCAGCTTGTGTCCTCGGACTCACCGTGGTATTCCTCAAATGCCTCGGGGATACTGGACGGGTTTTCGCAGAAATCCAAAGCTCATGGGGCCTGCTACGGCTGGCGGAAGATCGCTTTATTGGATTCTTTTTGGACTTTTCTGACTGGTAGTCTTCATTGGTGTTTTACTTGCTAACTTTAGGACGTTGTTGATACCCGCCCTGCGCTCATGTAGCACAGCGGAATCGTCTTTATGCACGCTGACGTTGATGAGGGCCGCCTTATGTCATTGACTGTCGGGTAGCTCTGCCGGTCATTCTGATGCATGCCTCATCCTTGCCCGAGCTGAGCGCGCTTCTTCTGACAGTCTGGCACATAAGATAAGATACGATAAGAATTTGTATGTTTTATGTAGCTGCCAAATTGCACTTTAATTTTTTCACTGCTTAAAAAAACCATTCGACATCACTCAAGTTTTAGTTCTGCACTATAAAAAAGTTTAGAGTAACATAGCCGAATCTTTCTTGTTATATCACCAAAATTTGGAAATTAAATGAATGTGTGCTCCAGAGTCAAAGGCAAAACTGACCAATAACAGGTTGAATGCAAGGGCCTACCTTGTTGGGGAAAAATAAAGTTTTGTTCTGCGTTTTGAAACGTCGTTCGTTCAGAATTTAATGGCCTCTAACCCGCCTATTTTTCTTGTTCTTATCGATATTTTCAATGATTTACAAAAATACATTTTTATATGAAAGCTAGTCCAGTAAAATTTTTAAAACAAATTTTTTAAGTATGTAATCTTGTAAATAGATACCATAGTTTTTAATTTCAGTCCTACTCTTGCTCGACGCGACAAATATCGTTGGTTTATTAATCGAATTTCTGTATTCGACTAGTTGTGTGTACCAGCCCTAAGAAGCGTGCAGCCAGGTGTGTGTGTACACATACACATTACCAATTCATCGGCCCTGATAAAGGCCGAAGGTATCGCGTCGTATTTTATAAGCTATTTAACCACCAGTATATTATTTTAAATAGTTCAGGATTGATGCACAAAGTATTCGTTTAATTTCTTGTTCACTACTAGCAAACCAACAAAAATGGAGGCGTCAGAACAAGGTTGATTACAAAATAATTTGAAATAACCAATACGTATGTAACTAACTGTTTATTTTCGAAGAAAACGCGTGCGGCGATGACGCCGAGGCATCCGCAAAACCATCAGAGACAATGACGACGGAAACAGTGTCGAAGGAAATTCAAGATTCGACATGCGAAGTAACTTCCACCACAACAATCGATGATACAGCACCCGATGGCCTTAACAAAAGCGTTTCCGAGTCACCAGCAACCCAGGAGGAAACCAGTTCATCGCGCTCCAGAAGCCGCACTCGCGATGGCAGCGAGCCCACACGTTCGGGCAGTGGCTCGGAAAGATCCCGCAGCGGATCCAAAGCTTCGGCCACAAGTTCCCGCAGTGGCTCACGATCGCGCAGCGGATCACGCCACTCATCTCGACAGTCGCGCAGTGGCTCAAGGCGTTCGGGCAGCGGATCCCGCAGCAGATCCGGCTCGAGACGCTCACGCAGTGGCTCGGCCCGCTCACGCAGCGGCTCAGGATCTAGGCGTTCGCGCAGTGGATCGGGCTCTGGACGTTCTCGGAGTGGTTCCAGACGCTCTCGCAGTGGCTCAGCCCGTTCTCGTAGCGGCTCCAGACGTTCCCGCAGTGGCTCTAGGCGGTCGCGTAGTGGCTCGAGACGTTCACGCAGTGGTTCTGCACGCTCACGCAGTGGATCTAGACGTTCCCGCAGTGGATCCAGACGCTCTCGTAGCGGATCTGCGCGTTCTCGTAGCGGTTCTGGCTCAAGACGTTCTCGCAGTGGCTCGAGACGCTCCGGCAGTGGCTCCAGACGCTCCCGCAGTGGCTCGAGACGCTCCCGCAGTGGTTCCAGACGCTCCCGCAGTGGATCCAGACGCTCTCGTTCTCGCAGTGGGTCCAGGAAATCGCGCAGTGGCTCGAGAAAATCCCGCAGTCGCTCCAATAGCGCTGAATCACCAAATAAAAAACGAAATGGCTCGCAAGACCGTTCACGGTCTGGCAGTGCTGGATCCATAGGGGCTTCTAGGCGCCGGCGACAGGCCATCAGTGACTCGGAAGGTATATTTTTGGTGTCCTGTCCCATTCAAACCGTATTCATTTCCGTATATTAATGCGCTTGCAGATGAAGCACCCACAATCGAAAAGAAACGGCCCAAGATTACGGATACAGACAATGAGGACGACGATGAGACGCCGGCAAATGCCTCCGCCACAGAAAAACCCCAAGACAAGATTATAGAGAGTTCCGATGACGAAAATATACCCATTTCAAATGAACCAGAGTAAGAGGATCCCCACCCACATAGCCCTTGAATATTTGTTGAATTAATATCTGTTTTCGCTCTTTGAAATTGCAGCCACAACAACTTTATGTCGGACTTTGATGCAATGCTTCTCCGCAAGAAGGAAGAAAAGCGCGTGCGACGACGCAAGCGAGATATTGATCTGATTAATGATAACGACGACCTCATTGATCAATTAATTATAAGCATGAAGAATGCCTCTGATGATGACAGGCAATTGAACATGACCGGACAGCCGGCCACCAAGAAAATATCCATGTTGAAGCAAGTGATGTCGCAGCTGATCAAAAAGGATCTGCAATTGGCCTTTTTGGAGCACAATATACTCAATGTACTTACAGATTGGCTAGCACCGTTGCCAAACAAAAGTCTGCCCTGCCTGCAAATACGCGAGAGTATTTTGCGGCTATTATCGGATGTAAGGCACAGTTAACAGAGTCAAAGCTCTCCTTTATATGTATAACCTTATAATTGTATATTGTATTCTTTGCTTTCGCTTAGTTTCCCACGATAGAGAAGGGTTTGCTGAAGCAGTCGGGCATCGGCAAGGCTGTGATGTATTTGTACAAGCATCCCCAGGAAACCAAACAGAATCGCGATCGTGCTGGTCGCCTCATATCCGAATGGGCACGACCCATCTTCAATCTAAGCTGTAACTTTTCGGCCATGAGCAAGGAGGAGCGCCAGGAACGTGATCTGGCACAAATGTCACGGCATAGGAACAAGAGTCCAGAGCCCAATCAGGCGGCATCCGAGGAAAGCCGCTCCCACGCACTCAGTCAGACATTCTCCAGCGAGGACAAGCAGCTGCGTCCCGGTGATCCTGGTTGGGTGGCACGTGCTCGTGTACCAATGCCTTCCAACAAGGACTATGTCATACGTCCCAAGTCCACAGTGGAGGGCGAAGTATCTACGGTAAGTCTTTGTGTGGCTGCATCAACGGCATTTCTAACTCCCAATTTTCGTGTTCTTTTGTATGTTTCAGTCAACAAAGCGTAAGCCAAATCGTTATGAAAAGCACATGAAACGCTTCCTCGACTCAAAGCGTTTGAAGGAGAGTCGACGTGCCGTCGAAATATCCATTGAAGGACGCAAAATGGCGTTGTAAGATGGAATCCTACTCGTAGATAAGTTTCAATTTAAAAGAGAAATCATCCAATCCAAACATAGAACAAAATTAATAATATAAATTATATTTTTGAATATAATGCGGATATATTCCACGCCCTCCCCCGCCCTAACAATGTAGTCCATCACAAGCACTCAATCAAGTTACATAAAAGAGAATTACAAAGCAAATGATGAATCAATTAATGAGTTAATGTATGAAAAAGAGAGAGACAGAGACGACCGAGAGATGGAATGGATGGAGGTCGGTCTTATACCATTTGTACATATATAAGTGTATGTGTATATGTATTGTTTACATATGTATGTATTCTGTTTAAGTGAGGAATAAATGTCAGTGCTTCAATCGCAAATCTAATCCATTTTTAATCATTCCACTACATAAAAACACAGCGTTCAATAATACGTACATGCTCGTGTATGTACATATGTGTGTTCCTAGCTAATAATCTTTAAATGATACCCTAGAGAATCCACAGAAATGCCTCCTACGATCATGGACAAGGTAATTTCAACTTAATACAAATTTAATAATAATTAATCATTTAATAATATAATTAATATTTATTTTAATTAATTTAATAATCAGAGAATGGCCCATATCGAGTGTTTTCTGTGATTTGTATATGCCATGGTTAACGAATACAGAAATACATATATTGTAAAAGCCACAGTTCGTGACTGATCTGTTTGGTGGCATGCTAAATTCGATTTCTAATGTCCCAGAAATCCATACAAAGAAAGTCTTCTCTTTTGAAGACATATTGAACCAAGAACTAAACTTATAGCATAATTTTGTTTGCTAATTAATCATCATTATACCCACACAATGATGTTAATATATCACTAGATATCTTTATCCATGATTATTACATGATCTAAGGATCACACCACACACTGCCAGTTAATAGCCGATAAACCAAAGAGAGTGGATTGCTGCGCCGCTGCATCGATGACTTAAAACATATGTTTTATGTATTCCACAATATGATTTATTTATTTATTTCTAAGAGACAACATTGAAGCATTTCCACTTAGAGCTATGCACCTACTGCTGCTGCATTTGTTTTTGGTTAGCAATTATACGAGTCATCACTATGCGCCGTATAGTATACGGTCACCACTCTCCACTCCGCTTGCCGTGTTGGAATTAATAATAAATGTCAAATTAAGGGCATCTTTGATAGACACAAACACAACAGCCCCCCATTTGGAAATCGGAGTACGAGTACCCGTACCGTAACCCCCCGGCAAATGTACGGCGATAAACTGCACACACGAGTGGGCTGGAAAAATACAACAAAAAAAAAACACCAATGAAAAATATAGATAAACAAAAGCTACCAGTTTTTGAGTGTCTGGCCACGAGCATATTGTATGGGTATGGTATGGGGATGTGAATGTTGGGGATACTGCATGCTGTCGCTGTCTAGGATGACAAATTGTCTAGCGGGTGGCTGCTGCCATACTATCGCATAATAGTTGAGCTGTAGCTGGAGGGGGGCTCTTATTATCTCTTTAAAAAATCACCAAACACGGCTACCAACACCTCAGAGAGCACTTGGAGGTTTCGGGTTCACCTCTGTCGCTTGTCAGCCGCCTTATCGCCTTAATATTAAACCGGTTGCGCTGTTCTACAATTGTTCAAACGCCTCTGCACTGTCGTCTAGGTTGGTCTGTGATTGACTGAATGCTCTGCAGCACAAAACAAAAACAAACAAAAAAATAATAGAAAAAGTCAGACACACGCTAAACAAAAATGTCGCAGGTTAAAAAGAACGAAAAGGTCGGCATTGTGGGCAGGTAAGAACAAGAAACAGGATCCAACAAAACAGGATCTCCTGCCTGCTACATGCATCTACATCTACTCTTTCACAGCGGTCTCATTGGACGCTCCTGGTCGATGCTGTTCGCCTCTGTGGGATATCAGGTGATGCTCTACGATATCCTGCCAGAGCAGGTATCCACAGCACTGACGGCCACACAAAAGGAGCTGCTGGATCTGGAGGCCAAGGGACTGCTGCGTGGCACACTGAATGCCAAGCAACAGTTTAGCTGCATGTCGGGCACCAATGACATCAAGGAGCTGGTCAAGGGTGCCATCTTCATCCAGGAGTGCATACCCGAGCGCCTGGACCTCAAGAAAGCGCTCTACAAGCAGCTGGATGCTGTTGTCGATGCCAATACCATACTCTCCAGCTCAACGAGCACCTTCCTGCCGTCTCTTTTCAGTTCGGATCTGAAGAACAGGCAGAACGTAAGTAAACACAGTCCAGCCAGCTAGACAGCCAGCCATATATCTATCCGGGCGGGCAGTCAACGCAGATAAAGCCACTCCAAAACAGCGGAGCGGCAGGCCAGCAGGCCACCGCATGCATCGCCATGTGTGACGTGTCTGTGGCATCTGTCCTTGTCCCCGTTTTGGCTTAATCGGTAATGGAAAACGTTAACAAATTGTTGTATTTTGTTGGAACAGGTTGTGGTCTCACACCCCGTCAATCCACCTTACTATGTTCCTTTGGTGGAAATTGTGCCAGCGCCATGGACCAAACCGGAATTCGTGATCAAGACCCGTGCATTGATGGACGAAATTGGCCAGAAGCCGGTGACGCTGTCGCGTGAGATTGAGGGCTTTGCCCTAAACCGTATACAGTATGCCATATTGAATGAGACCTGGCGTCTGGTGGAGGCTGGCATCCTGAATGTCAAGGATATCGACAGTGTGATGAGCGATGGCCTGGGCATGCGTTATGCCTTCCTGGGGCCCCTGGAGACGGCCCATCTGAATGCCGAGGGCATGGCCAACTATTTTGAGCGCTACTCAAAGACCATTTACAGCGTCAGCGAGACCATGGGACCCACACCAAAAATGGAGGGCCCTGTGGCCGAGGAGGTGGCCAAACAGCTCAACGAAATGGTGGCGCTCGACAAGCTGGCCGAGCGACGCACCTATCGCGATAATTGCCTGACACATTTGAGCATACTCAAGAGTAAGCTGAATAAACAGTAAATGCCATTCATCCATGCCCCACCCTCCACAATTCTTGTGTTACATTTTTTTTTTGCTTTTCGTTAGCCTCAATCTATGTTACAATAAATCAATTTTTGAATAACTAAATAAAGGCTTAAGCCTTTTTTATTTTATTTGATAAATCATAAATGAAGAGTGTTCAGGTTCCGTCTCTCTCTCTCTCTCTCTCTCTCTGAGCAAAGATTTTCAAGTAAATTGCTCTCTTGTCCTTAGGATAATAATAGAAAGAATATTTCTGGTAATAATAGAACGAGTATTTCTGTTTAAACTTATTAAGTACTGTGCTGGAGGTGCGGGCGGTGTTTCCACATATCAGTTCGCTTTATCTTAAGGTATCATAAACAAAAAAAAAACAAACCAAAACAAAACTAATACTTCAGTTGGGAGATAGCCAAAACACGCTGCGTGATGCGGCCATACCGACCATTCTGAAAGGTTTATCTTCAAGGTTAAACAACATCACAATTGGAATAATTCACTTTCATACGACATTGGTGGCCTTGCCTGCTCTGCTCTGGCGTGGTCTTCCTATCCGGAACCCGGCTTCTTTGAGAAGCTGGGGCGCCTGATATTTGGCGTGGAATAGGATGCATTGACCACAGCATTCACCGACACTGGCTTCAATGATCTACGCTGCAGCGAGCGCATCTGTGGCAGCGGTGTGCTCGTGCAAAATATCTTTTGGCCAGCCTTTGGCTTCACTGGCATGGGCGTCTCTGGCGGATGGACGGGATTGAGGTACGTTCCCTCATTGGGCGCCACACTGAGTGGCTTTACAGTTGGAATGACACGCTTAATGGGTATAGATGCCTTCATTGCTGTACCATTGCATTTGGACATGGATTCATTAATGGACGGTGTCTTCATGCGGCTGGCCAGTATTGAGCGCCTATTGGCATCGGCTCCCTTTACTGGCGGATTGACAATCGAAAACGAATTACGACGCTGTCTGAACGGCGGCGGACCGCTGCCAGCGATGCTGCTGCTCAATGGTGTGTTTCGTGGCTCTTTTGGTGGCACATTCTGTATATTTTCAATCAACTGATTGGCCTTTCTTTCCGGCAGCAGCTTGGACTTGTCGTGTATGGACAGAGACGAGGATCGTCGACGCATTGAGCCCGCCTCATCGTTGGACACAATCGCTTTACCTGCCGGCTGCAGCTCTGCAGATGGTGGCTGTACAAAGCAGCTGGTCTGGAACTGGCCCCCATTGCTGGGATTCACCAACAGAATGACTGTTCGTGGATCGGCGCCATGCTGTTCGTTGTGGCTGCGATTGTGACGCTCCAGAAGCTCATTAATTTGATGGGCCAGGGATTCGTCCACCAATTCGGTCATGAATGGCTCTCGCTTTAGGGGCACTGGTGCAGGTGGGGCACTCATTGGATGGAAGTCCTTGTCATATATATCGGGACGCGAGTCGCCATCGAATGTGGCCGAAGAGCAGACCATGGCATCTGGAAATTCCTGCATTTTACTGCCGGGTGGCAATTGCTCCTCCATAGACATTGTTCTCTTGTCCTGCCAGAGAGTAATCCAACATAAATCTCTGCCATAGAAAAATACTTAAACTAACTTACTTTCAGCTCGAGGTCAAAGGTTCCCTGCCGAGTGTACGCGTGTGGCAATGTTGTTACTGGCGTGGTATGGTCCACATCTCCTGCAAGATTAGTCGCTGCCGTACAGCCACCAAAGATGGCTGCATCCAGCGACTCAATCACCGAGTCAAAGTGGTACCTCTTCGTAATTTCCACCTTGTCATGCACTAAAGTTTTCAGCTCCTGCAACAGTTGGCCCACATTCTTTCTGATTGATTGATGCCCCAACTGCGATTGATTGTCGGGCGTCTGGAAATCTGCCCTGTGAAATTCCTCTGTTGTTTTGGGCTCTTCTTCCTTGGCCGTCATGGCGTCCAGTATGGGTATGCGTAGCATTTTCAAATCCTCCTCGAAATTGGCACTGGAACGATAGCCACTGTCAGCGGGCGGCTCGTCTTCTATCAGCTTGAGCGGCGATTCGGCAGCAATCATTTGCAGATTTTCGGCCAGAATTGTTTTCTCAAATTGGGAGTCTCCTCCTGCTGCTCCCCTGGATTTTGCGCCATGATGCGGCGGTGTATTTATCACCGATCGCGAGGCATTCAACTTGAGCAATTGCTTTTGAAACGAGTTGTTTGTAGATCGGTGGGGCGGACGTGAAGCCTCGCCGGGCGCCACATCCGTATGCATACAAACGGGTGGACTTTCATTTTCGAGATCGGGATACGGATTTTCTGCTACCTTTGCCTCCTCCTTCTCTTTTTGTTGTGTCGTCAAATTAATTCCCTAAAAATAAAAAAAACGAGGAGTTGGTGTGTCTGTGTGTGTATGCAAGAGTGTACATATGCTTTCGCATACAGTAAAAATTTTGGCAATGACAGTGTGTTTGGCTAACCTTGATGCAAGCCTCTTTCGCAACAGAATCGAAGGGATCGTAGGGTCCCTTGAAACTGTTGGACTCAACGACCATTGAGGCTTCTGGTTCCTCCAAAATGGTCTCTTCTTTTTGCGGTTCATCCCAGCCGGTCAGGTCAATAAGGTTTCCAGTATCACACATTTCTAACAAATTCTAACAAAAAAACTAGCGGAACTCGCTCAACTTCGAAACAATGCCGAATTTCCCGCTACTGTTGATGGGCCATTGTATTGGTAATTATTGATGATACCTGGATGATAGGATATATCGATATCTATCCAATAGTAGTTTTGGATATGAAACGATGGAAACGACTCCTCGTGGTTTTAATTATTTTAAAAATACATATTTAATATTAAAATCAACAATATATTTAAACCTTGTATTTATAATGTATAAACAACACTTTCCGCTTGATATTCAAATAAATGTATAACTTATCCACATCTTTAGTTTATAAAATATATGTTTTATTGCAGTTTTATGGAAAATTTGAAACTTTAATCGAACGTTTTCTAATTGTATCCCTCATAAATACTTAAATATATACATATTAATATATCCAAAAGGTTGCGCAAGTATTGATGTTTCTGTTCCATTCGTCCGTTCCGATACCTAACCGATTGCGCCTGCACATACCGATGATAAACACAATGACTAGATATTTATAATATATTTATAAGCAGCAACTAGTAATTACCTAATTAAATTAATTTTTGCTATTGCTAAACAGTTTGCTTAGTCTCTTCAAGCCATCAATGGTGGAGGAGAAATCAACGGCGTAATATTAATCAATAATAGTGCAATAAAATACAAGCAATAGTTTTCATCGTGCAATTGACTTTCAAGCGGAGAGATCATAATTAACAATCAATCAATCGAATCGACAAGATGAACAGGAAATTCTTGCCAATCACAGTGTGCGTGGTTTTTCACGTACTACTCACCAATGTGGGCACCCAGGCACAGCTGAATCTCGACCAGATTGAGCTGCAGAAGCAGCTTCCGGAGGAGCTTCTCAAGTCAAACTTCACCCTCAACGATGCCAAGGATGTGTTCCGCCACAAGTGCATAGAGGTGGTCGGCGAGGAGGCTGGTGGCAAGGCGTACGAGGAAATCGAGTCCGGTTTTGCAGTTCTCAGCGATTGCGTGAACGGCATTGTCAACTATACGACAATGCAGCAGGAAATCGAGGAGGCGAGCCCCGAGGGCGAGCTGGATGTAGTTTTTAATAAGTATTGCAACAAGCGGTCAAGTGCCATTGAATGCTTCGATGTGTTCACCGCCAAGCTCTCGCCTTGCTTGGACAAGGAGGAGCAGGAGAGCAAGGATGTTATCAAGCGGATCATTCAGAGTTTATTGAACTTTGTTTGCCACAAAGATGGAGACCAAATAGCTCTGTTTATTGCCGAGAAGGGGCCCGAGTGCCTCGAGTCTGAGAAGGACAATATCCAACAGTGCTTGAACAGCACCTTTTCTACGTATCTTAACTCTGCGGATATCCATGACAATAAGATCAAATCCATACCCAAACTGACTGTTGGCCAGCGGCAATGTGATGATATGCTGAGCCTGCAGTCGTGCGTGGTCCACCGGCTGGAGCAGTGCACCGACATAACGCCAGCCAATCTTGTGGAATCAATGTTCAACTTTATCAGAAACGAAACCCTATGTCGCAACTATCAGAAATCTCCCCTAAGCGCAGCCGCCGCCAGCAGCAGTCCAGGCATTCAGGCAATGCCATTCTTGTACTCTCTGTCGCCCATTTTTATTTTGATGTTTGCTCTCCACAAATCTGCATAGTTCTAAGTTCAAAAAACAAATACCGCTGGAATCTCTCGAATATCTCGAATATATTTACTTTTCCCCCATCAAGATTCAAAAGTCAAGTAAATAATTGATGGAAGGTCGCGCGGTGTGTGCATATGGATTTAATGGATATTATTTATGCACTGGATTTACATACAAACATATATCTGTACTCGTATTTAAGTGTTTACTCAAAATATTTAAAAACTAATTTGTATTACCGGTGCTAGCACCATTCCATAGGTCAAACCCAAATATGTAGATGGGCGCACCACATGGCTGCCTACGACTCTTTTGCACGCAACTCAGGCCGCGTGCAAGTCTCTATAATAGTAATTTACAAAATAATAACAAAAATGTATGTACGACAGCTAAGACATTGTCGTAACCTTTTGGCCATGTCGTGCGTCTATCTCTAAACTATGTATTAAATTTAATGAGGCCTTTGCTTTTTCAAGTCTATTGCTTTTTTGCTTTTGTTTATTTTTTATTTTTTTTTTTGTCACGGAAATGAATCTCTTGCATTAATCTGATCGAATGGATCAAAACACTTAGTGGGATCGGATTAGGGATAACTCTTACATCTCATCATGGAGTGGGTACGAAATGGTACGGGCTAAAGTAAATAATATTTATATATGTATATGTATTGTATGTTTTTTAAATGAATACAAGTATCATAAATGTGCAAATAAAGTGATATAAATTTGAAACAACATTTCCATCTGCAATGGTTATTATTGAACGACATGGAAGTGAGCAAATAAATGTTTTTATAAATAGATATTTTTTAATTATGAAATTTCATATAGAGCCGGTTTGCGCCTTAAATTTAAATAAATTAATTGTTGATATTTTCGATCTAGTAGTTGGCTACTTCGATAGCTCGGATTAGGTAATCGATAGAAATAGTTCATTTTTGGCAATCGATCGTACTGTTCGTTTTGCTGTTTCCCTTCAAATTGAACCCAAACTGGCTTACTTCTGATTAAAGATCATCTTTAGCCCTATTGCTAAAGAAAACAATATGTTTACACGAAAATAAAAGGACTATTAGCACGAAAAAACCAAACAAAGTGATCAAGTGTACAGGTTTAGAGCCTGCTTGAGCCAATTCGTTTTGTCATCTCTAATTCAATGTTTATAATTCTTGGCTTGACTTGACTGGCATTTTTTTCATAGAATTTTGAAACTCCGGACGAGTATGTGACATTATGCGAAGTCATCTGCAACACAGGGCCAAGCTGAAGGTTTCTGAAGTACAATGAAGATCGCTAGCACCAGAATGGAGGAAGTAGTGGACTCCGCCGCCTCTGTTGTGATGGTGCCTATCACCCCGCTGAGCATAGTGCTAACTGGCGTCTCCGTCATATTGCGCTTCACTTCCATCATCATCAACTGGAGTCTGGCCTATGATTATTGGCTGGATGGATCGTACAGCTACACCGCCTGGACTATTGGATCGATTACGCTGCCCATGGTGATCACATCAATCATATACACAAATGTGTAAGTATGCCAATGCCAAGGCCTTGAACAAATGTACATATACTAGCATTATTTTTTTAGATTGGCTGCCAGCAACTCGGATCAGAGAGGCATGTACTCCACTGTTGTGCTATCATATCTCTTTCGGGACGGATATTCCTTACATTATGCCCTGGAGTACAGCAAGGCAAAAACGAAAGGCCACAAAGAGTTCGAATTAATGTTAGTACAGGTGCTGGATCTCACTAGCCATGGGTTTCCATATCGGTAGGCTGCGTGATTCAATTGGTTTGCTTTTTTAGATACTATCAACAACTGTTGCGGGAAGAATGCGATGTGGGTTTTATCCGGCTCTTCGATTCGTTTCTGGAATCAGCTCCCCAAAAAATACTTCAGCTTGTCATACTGATGCGATCTTTAAAGAAATTGACAAGTAATGTTTAATAATAGATATTGATTTATATGGAAAGTAGTATACGTTTCATATATGTGTTAATGCAGATTATCGCCTCTTTGCCTTCGTCGTCTATTTTGGCAGCATTGCCTGGTGCATACAGGCCTATAATCGTTCCAATCGCCTGGTGCAGCTCGACAAATATGATATAGCGGCCAAGGGGCGTTTTGTGCAATTCCTTTTTCTCCTATGTCTCACGGGTAACTCAATCCACCAATTACTGTAACCGATATGCATTTTATACCTATTTTATTTTGTAGTTTCCCGAACTTTATGCATTGCCTATATGGCCAGTCTCTTCCCCCTGGAAACACTGGGTGTGTGCATCCTTCATGTATGGTTTTGTGGCTCTGTCGTCTTTTTGTTTGACTCGCCAACGATTGCCCAATCTAGAGTGTTAAACTATATCTATTGCCTGACCTTTGGTGTTGTGTATATATTTATTTTTACCCCTGTTAAGGATGCGCCCACAAAGTACAAGTATACATCGTATCTGACATTTTGTCTTTTGCAAAACATTATCGTCTGTGTGCTATATATCCCTCTGTATTTTTCTATTGCCATTATTGCCTTGTATATTTGTGGGATCATGCTCACGATCTATTACTATCTGTACTGCCACCCAAGTATTTTATGTCTATAGTTTACTTAAATTCTCTTTTTGAATTTGGCCGGGATAATAAAGGTGCTCCCCTACCCTACAGCTGTATTCTGTTTAATGATGAGCTGGGGACAAGTGCAAAATAAGCCTATGTTTAATTATTCCTATTGGGAAGATATTAAAGACTGCCCCAAAACTAGTACTTTGCTGTAATTTTGTTATTTTTTAAATAAAACGCCGATATGGTTTTTTAGTTATTTTCCGCGGTTCAACTGTTTATACTGTTTTTTCCTCAGTATATTTTTGGGATCAGAATTTAAACGCAAAAATAAGTCGGACGATTTTCCTCAGCACTTTTAAAAACTTTGTTGGGACATTTTTTTTAACTTCTTTGTTTAAGGAAACAATCTTATGAAAATGAGTCCTTAAATTTAACCAATCCTGTAGAAAATATATTCATCTATCGGATAAAAGTATGTGTTCAGTGCTGAAGGTTCTAGTTAGCTTGTACTATTAAATGGAATATCAAAATTAAGGAATATGATTTTCCTCGGAATATTTTCGGTATATTTTGAAAATGAGAACGTACATTTCAGTATATTTCTGAGGGATATTTTATCGATAAGTCCGCGGTCACACCGCCTCAAAAAAGCATCATCATTGCCGGAACAAAAAAACTTTCAAAGAAGCACGGAAATAAAGTGTATAATAATCGTCGAGTGCATCATCTGTTTGTTGGCTAATTCCTAAAGATGTCTTCACGTTACGATCGTGCAGTTACCATTTTCTCCCCTGACGGACATTTGCTTCAGGTGGAATATGCCCAGGAAGCCGTCCGCAAGGGCTCGACTGCGGTAAAACTCACGCTTTTTGCAATATTTGGCACGCATTTACACAAAAACAATTATATTCCTTAGGTTGGTGTTCGCGGCGGCAGTTGCGTTGTGCTGGGCGTGGAGAAAAAGTCTGTTGCCAAGCTGCAGGAGGACCGCACAGTTCGCAAAATTTGCATGCTTGACCATCACATTACAATGGCCTTTGCCGGCCTTACTGCCGATGCGCGCATTCTGATTAATCGTGCACAAGTTGAGTGCCAGAGCCATCGCCTTAATGTTGAGGACCAAGTTACTCTGGAGTACATCACTCGGTATGCATAGTGCCCGTGCCTTTCACTGCCTTTTGCATTTACATTTTTTGTCCATTACAGCTACATTGCGCAGCTGAAACAAAAGTACACTCAGAGCAATGGTCGTCGCCCCTTTGGTATTTCCTGCCTGATTGGCGGCTTTGATGGCGATGGCTCGGCGCATTTATTCCAAACCGAGCCTTCTGGTATATTCTATGAATACAAGGCAAACGCTACGGGTCGCTCAGCCAAGACGGTGCGTGAATTCTTCGAGAAGAATTATCGTGAGGAAGAGGTGGCCGACGAGAGAGGTGCTGTCAAGCTGGCCGTTCGCGCCCTGCTCGAGGTGGCACAGTCGGGCCAGAACAACCTGGAAGTGGCCATCATGGAGAACAACAAGCCACTAAAGATGCTAGACCGGGAAGTCATCCAGGAGTATGTGAACATCATCGAGAAGGAGAAGGAAGAGGAGCTAGAAAAGAAAAAACAGAAGAAGTAACACACCCAGCACTCTTTCAACAGAATGCCTCCAATTCGAACATTTTCCAAAATCAGGACCTCTGCCCCTTTAAGATTGTCCCTCACTTTCATTCAGTCCTTTTATCCGAAAAAAGTGTTTGCACTACACAAAATCAGTTCGCCCGAAACATCATTCACATATAAAACATATTTTATATATTCAATCGTAGGGAGGTTTCTGCAGATTCCATTCACTTGGAGAATGTTCCGCACCGCATCACATCGGGTGGCCCGATGGCACATTTAAACTAAATAATTTTCTACATTTTTAAATGTTGTAAAGAGGTTCAAAGCTACATATTTGAGTTGTATAAAATACATGGTCTACCAGACACGAGGACAGAGATCCAACCTACTTTTCATTTGAAACATTTGGCAACTGTAAGATTTTTACGTTCATTATAGCATTATTTAATTAATACGGGAGTTATGTCCATTTGGATGTCTTAAAATTCGGAATTCCACGTAAAGAAGTGGTCGCAAAAAAAATTATTCATAGATAAAGAAATAAAAAAGAAATGTTTACACACATGCATTCAAATACGCTGCTACCCGAACAAATAGATGAAGATGGAGCTCCCAGAGCCCAAGGGAGTTTTCGCCACAAATTCTGTTGGGATTATAATTTAAATAAATATATCAAACACATGTTGAAACAAATGTCGGCTGTAAAAAGTAAACAAGAGACATAGCGCTGCTCCCAGCTCAACTGGACTGCCAGCTTGACGCATATAGTTCTCTCGCTCTGACTGCAGGCATAAGGCCATCTCTAATTTTCCAGCTAGTCAAAGCTTAGCAAAGTCTAATGTCATTTGGCTATAACTAGCTTTTAATATTAGATAGAGTATCAAAATAAAGGAATATGATTGAATAGTTTTGAATGTTTTGAAAAAAACAATCGATACTATCGTGATAGTATCGGGCTCAAATTATTATTAAATAACCATTGAAACCTTTTAGGAACTTGTCCATTGTAAAAATTAGGTGCCACCTGTCGATTTGTTTACAAATGTCTCTTCGTATTTTATAGCAGCCAATCCAAACATATCAAAAGCGCAACGACTGTAGCTCGATACTATCATGATAGTCGCAAAACCGTCGATAGTAGAGGCTAGCAGTAAAATATCGATACTATCGATAGTGCCCTCGATGGTTTGACACCTCTAGCTTGTCATCTCCAGCGAAAATTTCGTGCGCCAAAAACATAAACTAATGTGAAATAATTAGATTTAAGACAAATCAAGTGCAATATAGTTTGTAAAAGCAAACTTAAAAACCCAACAAGTCTTGGAGAGTGTAGTTAAGTGCCCCACAGTGAGGTCGCTAGCGATAGGCGAGTGAAAATTGCGTTTTACAATTACTGTTTTACGGTGGTGGTGGGCCGTGGGAGAGGGAGGCCAACAGTCAGTGGTGCTGTCGTGTGGGAACGCCAAGCAGGAGCACCGTTTTTATTTTCAATCGAAATGAACAGTTACAAACAGTAAAGTTGGAGCTCAATCCAAACATTCATACAGTTTCGCCCCCCAACCAACACTAGATACATAGATGCTGCGAGGCATCCAGTGAGGGATTCGTTACGGAGTGAAAATACGTCTTTGTCGGTATGCAGCAACAGGACGATCCTCCGTCTCTGCCCGTGGGCACGGAGGTGAGTGCCAAGTACAAGGGCGCCTTTTGTGAGGCAAAAGTCAGCAAAGTTGTGCGCAACATCAAGGTGAAAGTGGTCTACAAACAGGGCCTGGGCACGGGCATCGTGCCCGACGATGCCATCAAGGCGCCGCCCGGCCAGATGCGCGTGGGTGCCGTCGTTGAGGTGCGGCACCCAGACAGAAAGGAGGTCGTCGAAGCGACGATTGCCAAGATCCAGGATGGCTCACAGTACACGGTCGTCTTTGACGATGGCGACATCACCACCCTGAGGCGTACGGCCCTCTGCCTGAAAAGTGGCAGGCATTTCAATGAGAGCGAGACCCTCGATCAGCTGCCGCTGACCCATCCGGAGCACTTTGGCAATCCAGTGGTCGGCGGTAGAAGGGGTCGTCGGAGGGGTCAAATGAACGAGGACAGCTCCGATGATGACGATGAGAGCGATGCCAAGGAGGTGGTCAACGAGAAGGAGGAGAACATTGGCCAGGTCGTCTGCGTGGAGACTGAGTCCAAGAAGAAGGACAAGGAGAAATGGTTCCCCGCCTTGGTGGTGGCACCCACAGCTCAGGTGAGTCCTCGCCCTTCCACTGCCTGTCGAAGATTTGAGCTGCCCGATAATCCCAGCATTTCACTTTACTTTTGCAGGCCACGGTCAGAATACGCGTGAAGGATGAGTATCTGGTGAGATCCTTCAAGGACGGACGCTACTACACGGTGCCCAAGAAGGAGGCCACCGAATTTACCAGGGAAGTGGCCAGCAAACAGGATGTGCCTGCCGTGCAGGCTGCCCTCGAATTCCTCGACAGCAGCATCCTACCGCCACACTGGGACCGCGACTCCCTCTTTGGCCTGTCCAATCTGACCAGCGACGACGATGGCGAGATCGATTCGGATTCGTCCGACGACGAGCCGCACGAGGAGAAGGATCGCTTTGTAGCCCAGCTCTACAAGTACATGGACGATCGTGGCACGCCACTCAATAAAGTCCCCTCCATCCAGAGCCGCGACGTGGACCTGTACCGCCTCTTTCGCGCTGTCCAGAAGCGCGGTGGCTACAATCGCGTTACGACCCAGAACCAATGGAAAATGATTGCCGTTCGTCTGGGCTTTGCCCCCTGCACGGTCAGCGTTATGAATCTGGTCAAGCAGGCGTACAAGAAGTTCCTCCAGCCATACGGCGATTTCCATCGCAAGCTCGGCTGTTCCATGCTGATGATATCGCGGAATTCGAACCGCAGCAAGGGACGCAGTCTGGTCAGGGCTAATTCAGTGGCCTCGCCCAAGCCCATGGAAACCACCAAAACGGAGACGATCAGCAAGTTAGCCCAACCGAATCAGACGGCTACCATTACGAGCTCCACTAGCTCCTCCAGTGCTCCAGCAGCAGCTGCCTCATCCGCTGCTGCCTCATCCTCATCGATTGGACCCACCTTAAGCGCTGCAGCCAGCGCTGCCAGGGCCACCTCGACAGCCTCCATATCGGCAGCAGAGGAGTCAGAGAACACCAGCGAGTCCAGTGTGGTGGTGGAGCCCATCAAGAAGCAACGCAAGGCCTCGGCGGCCGCCAGCACTCAACAGCAGGGCAAGGTCAAGAGCCTGGTGGAGAAGTACGAAGAGAAGTCCTCGGCAGCAATGCCCCTTGCGACTGCAGCCGCTGCTCCTACTGCTGCTGCTGCTCCTGGAGCTGTCATAGCCACCGTACAGCCAACAACAACAGCTACTGCGGCAACATCTGCTGCTGGCCACACTCCATCCACGGCCACTCCATCATCAGCTGCAACAGCAACAACAGCAACAGCCACAGCCACTCCTTCGGCAGCTGTTGGCAAAGATACCGAATCGGATCTGCCTTTGGCCAAGATCAAGCTGCAAGCGGCCGCTGCTGCGGCAGCAGCCGTGACCAGGAATAGCATGGAGAAGGACCAACAGCAGACCAACATCAGTCCGGGCAGCGCCACATCCAGCAAGGCCAACTCGGCGGACAATCAAAGGAGCAGGGATGCCTCTCCTGCCTCGGGTAAGTGCAGGGCACCACAGTTCTCTAGACAATCCCTTAGATATTATGACGTTTATTTATTATGATCAGACGAGTTCTTCGGCTGTTGCTATGCTAGCTTCACTTTCACCTTATGATAGGCATTGGCCAGGACTCCGCGCAGATTCCAGATATGCTCAAACTTCTCCGGCTGCACATTGTAGGCAGAGTCAACGGCCTTGGCCCAGATCTCCAGCTGCTGTTGCTGCTGCTGCTCCTCGGGTATGGGCAGACGGGCGGTCCACAGGGACCAGCCATAATGCCGACCGTCGGGCGCATCCTCTTGCTCCAGTTCGGCCACATGCCATGTTTTGCCCTCGTCGCCAGTCAGATCCACGCGGAGTATTTTGCGGCCTCCACCGCTCCAGGCATAGCCACGCACTGTGATGTATCTGCCCTGTGGATCCACTTTGACACGCTCCCCAGGGAGGGGCGTGCAAATGGCCGAGGTCACCGGCATGGCTTGAATGGCCTCGGCCTTGCCAAAGTCCACCGTGTCCCAGTCCGTGCTGGGACTGAAGCCCTTGTAGTCGTTCTGCTGCCAGTGGGAGTCTGACTCGTGGTCCGCCACCGCGATTCTAGTCAGCCATTTGACATTTCGAGCACCCACAGTGCCGGGCACAATGACGCGTATGGGATAGCCATGATCTCGCGTCAGCGGTTCATCGTTCATCTCGTAGGCCAAGAGGACATCGCCGCGTGGATCCAGGGCCTTTGAGAGGGGTATGGAGGCGCCGTAGGGATGGGATGTGGGATCCAGATCGGCCCCCTCGAATAACACGTGCATGGATTCGTTGGGCTGCACTCCCTGCTCCCGCAGCACATCGCACAGACGCGCTCCCGACCACTTGGCATTGCCCACAGCTCCAGCGCCCCACGAAAGACCTGCAACAAAGAGAGAGAGAGAATGTTTGATCAGTTAGTGGGATTAGTGGGGGAAAAGTACTGGAACTGGAACTGCAATTGGAACCTACCCTTGACAGCCTTGATGCTGGTCATCTCTGAACGTCGATTGCCCCCGCACATGATGGCCGCCGTCACCGTGTGCCTGGGCAGGGCCTTGATCTGGGCCAGCGTCAGTGTGAGCGGCTTCTGCTCGCCCCCACACGCATCGATCTCCAGTTCGTACTCCTCGGACGCTACGACGGGCACTGGCAGGTGATTCCTCACGTAAAACAGCTCGTTGGGGGTGTAGAACTTTTCGGCTAGCAGCCCAATGGGCGGCTCCGCATTAAACGGTCGCTTGGAGGCGGGCTTCAGCAGGGCATGACGTACGGGCTCTTGGGCCCAGGGCGAGCCCAGCTCCTCCTCCGCATTGGGCACAATCAGACCTTCAAGATTCCCGATGCGGAAGGATTCGAGTAGCTCCAGTACCTCCAGGGTGTTGTGCTGCTGGTAGATGGCCCAGAAGGGATCGATGGCGCTGCCCGCGGCCATCATGATCTTGTCCCCTCCGGGATGATTCTCGGCGAATTCCGTCACATCGTAGACGCCCAGGCCATAGGTGACCCAAATGCGTTTATCGGGCGCATTGTGCTGTTCCACCTGATCGGCTTTGTAGGTGGGCAGATCCTTTCTAGGCGTGATGTGCCACAGTCGCGCCACTGCCTCATCATCGGGCGTCGCCTCCGCCGTGCTACTATTTCGCTGAGTCAGCCAGAAGTAGCCCAGTCCCAGGCCACCGACCCAGAAGGCGCCGTACAGTAACATCTCCGCTTTGCTCCCAGGCGAACTCCATTTGCGGCGTTCCCTTTCTTCTTGTCCGTTGCCTCGTGCTGAAGCTGTTGTGGTGGCCAGCAAGCGTCTGTGTGGACGTGTCTGTGGCAGCAGCTTCTGCAGCCTGACCGCCCGTTGCCACAGCAAGCGCATAATTATGTAACAGAGCAAACCACTCCTCCAGAAGAAAAGCACCTTTAAATAATACAAAACAATTTGAATCGACCGATTCCGTGTTGCCCCGTGATGTTATCTTTGGGGGCAGGGCAGCCGGCGAATGCTGCTGCTTCTTGAACGTCGCCTGTTGCTGCCTGTGGCTGACAGCCAGTCTCTTCTATTCTCTTTGAGCTCTATTTTTCAGCCTTGGCCCTAGCACCTGTGCCCCCCTTGGGGTTTAATTGATAAGCAAGCTCTTTGGCAGCATAAGCGCTAATTTCTGCTGTTTTCTGTCGCCCCGTTTTGCGTTTTGTTTGCGTTACACACACACACACCAGCTTTCAAGTATCGATACAAAGTATCTACGGAACAGACTATCGATATGTCGTAAGCCCTGTCTAAACGGGGCTGGGGGTGGGTAACCACAGGTGAAAATTGATATCAAACATAGAATAAAAATGGCTATCCCCTGTAGAATTCTCGTCGAGCACAACCAATTTACAGTTAAAAATTTACAGCAATAGCAGTTGTGCCTTACAGAGAGAACGGCGAACAAAAGAAAATCTGTGAGCGGTGCAAAGCAGCTGCAGCCTCGTTTAGCCAGTACTTACGAATAGCATATACAAGAGGAATGAACCAAATTGAATATAATTAGGAGAAATAAGCTAGTTAATATGCAGCATGCAGAGGTATATAGATAAGATATAAATAAGCAACAAACAAAATATAAATAAACATATGTATAGTGTTTGTATGTATTTTATGATTTTATTTTATTTTTTTTGTGACTGTACTGACTGACCATCTTCTGTCTCTCTTCAACTCATGTCTATAGCTGCCCCTGGCCCGTCTGCTGCCCCACCGACCACCGCCAAGAAAGAGAAGCACCAACGAAAGCAGGTGGAAAAGACGGACGAGAAGCAGCGCGGCAAGCGGAAGAAGGAGGATAAGGACATCAGCGTTGAGAAGATCGACACTGGGGACTTTGTGGTGGGCATCGGTGATAAGCTGAAGGTGAACTACCACGAAAAGAAGTCCCCCAGCTCCCATGGCAGCACCTACGAGGCGAAGGTCATCGAGATTAGCGTACAGCGCGGTGTGCCCATGTACCTGGTCCACTACACCGGCTGGAACAACCGCTACGACGAGTGGGTGCCCCGCGAGCGGATTGCCGAGAACCTGACCAAGGGATCCAAGCAAAAGACGCGAACGATCAGCACCAGCAGTGCGAACAGTGGCAGCGGCGGCGGAGGAGGAAGCGGAGCCGGACCGGGCACACTGCCCCCAGGTCCAGGTGGGGGTGTCGGTGGCGGCGACAAGCAGCCGCCGCCTGGTAAGGATGGACCCTCAAAGACGGTTCCACCCTCTGGGCCGGCGGGTCAGCAAGGCGGTCAGTCGGGAAATCCCAGCGGCTTCAGTACGGCCAATTCGCTGATCCAGGCCATGGTGAAGACGCCCACCACGACGGGAGCGAAGCGGGGCCGTGGGCGCAGCGATTCGATGCCACCGCGATCGACCACCCCTTCGTCGGTGGCCTCCAACTCTAGCAGGACCAAGTCCCCGGCCAGCTCCCAGCAGCAGCTGCAGCACCAGCAGCCGATGAAGAAGCGTCCCACGCGAGGGCCGACCAACAGCGCCAATATTCATCGCATCTCAGACGCCTCGTTGGCCTCCGAATCGGACTCTGACTCGGATGAGCCCGTGCGCCGGCCCAAGCGGCAGAGTGCCAAAGAGAAGGCAGCTGGCAAGCCGCAGGCCATCGCCAAGGGACGTCTGTCCCGTGGCATATCCTCTGGGCCCACGGCAGCCGCCGCCCAGCAAAGTCCCAGCGAGGACTCCGACGAGGATGAAGAGGAGGAGGAAGAGGGGCCAGGCCTCAGTCCGGGCAAACAACAACAACAGCAGCAGCAGCAGCAACAGCCGCCATCTTCGCTGCAACGTTCTCGCGCCGCTGGCAATCGGGCAATGAGCAGTGGGGCCGCCACCTCCAAGGGACGTGACTACGATCTCAGCGAGATCCGATCCGAGCTGAAGGGATTCCAACCGCAGCTGCTCTCCTCCTCAGCCTCCTCCTCGGCATTGCCCAGCGATGAGCGCAAGGACCACATAAAGGGGGAGATCCATCCTACTGTGGGGGACATCAAGAAAGAGCCGAAAATGGAGTCGTCGGCCAAGAGCAGCTCCACGGAGCTCTCCTCCGAGACGGACTCGTATGTGGACGAGGACTCCCAGTCGTCGGACTACCGGAAGCAGGCCAGCGAGAAGCGCACAAAGGCAGGAGCTGCAGGGCAAACGCCAGGCAAGGCTGGAAATGAGCCAGCGGGCAGCGGAGATTCTATTCTGCTGCTGGAGGCCATCAAGACGGAGGCCAAGGACATCAAGGCGAAGCCCTTCCACACGGGAGCAGACATCAAGCCGACCACCACATTGATAGCCCCGGCACGCTTTGGCCTGAACAGCTCCTCCTCAGCCGCAGCCTCCTCCTCCTCGACATCCACCCAAGGACCCTGCCTCTCGGCGGTGGCCAAGTACACGTCGGTGATTGTGGAGAAGCCACTAACCATGACAACAGCAGCCGGGGCCGGCAGCAAGAAGTCCGCGTCCGCGGGGGATCAGCCACATCTCAACAAGAAGGTGGACAGCCTTAAGAAGCAGTCGGGCACGGCAGGAGGAGGAGCAGCCACAGCCACCAGCAGCACCTCGGGACAGGATGTCAAGAAATTCGCTGAGCCTGTGGCCACCTTGAAGGTTGAGCTGCCGGCCGCCTGTTCCCCCTCATCGTCCTCCTCCTCGTCCAGTTCCTTCTGCTCGAGTGCCTCCGGTGGCAGCTCCAGCTCCGCCACGCGATCTCTGCCGGATATGAGCAAGCTGGAGATTAGCGGAGCTGCAGGAGCAGCAGCAGCAGGAGCAGCTGGTCCATCTGGTACCCAGCCCTCGACTCCGCCCACGGCGGCCACAGCCAGCAAAGAGTCCAAGTACAGCAGCAGCAGCATTGCGGCAGCCACTGGTGGACCCCTCACGCTGGGCGATCTCTTGGCCTCGGATGTGTACGAGTTCAAGGACACGGAACCCTTTGAATTCGAGAAGCGCATATCGCCCATGGCCGCCTGTTCGACCACAGCGACAGGCGTTGCTGCCGTTCTCCCCGCCACCGCCGTCACTTCATCGGTGATTACTGCGGTGCCGCCGCAGCCAGTGCCAGCAGCAGCATCAGGGGCAGGAGGCGCAGCAGGAGCCCCTTCCAGTGCTGGTACTACTGTGGGGGTTAGCTCTGCAGCCAGAAAGCAGGCCCTCAAGGCCTCGGCTATGCAGCAGAGCCTGGAGCAGCATCAGCTGCCGCCCACTGCCCATGGAGGAGGAGGAGCAGCAGCAGCAGCAGCAGCAACAACAACAACAACAACCGTTGGACTCGCAGCAGGCAGCAAAGCCAAGAAGCGTGGCTCACCCCTAAAGGAGGCCAGTCTGGTGCTGGAGAAGCCCAAGCTGATAAAACTGGAAAAGGAACAGCCGGAACAAAAGCCAAGCATTCCACAGCAGCAGCAGCAGCAACAGCAAGCCCCTCCCACTGTCAAAGTGGTTGCAGCCACACCGAATCTTGTGCAGATGCAGCAAAAGTTGATCACCCCACCAGGAGCAGCAGGAGGAGGAGGAGGAGGCTCCTCCGCCACCGCTGGCCAACTGACGCCCGGACACCATGCCACGCCCTTTGATGCGCTGCGCAAATCTCCGAGCTTCAACCTGAATATCATGGCCCTGAACGAGGAGCTAGCCCAGACCGTGCAGGAGACAACCCGTGCCCTAACCGATGCCCTGCAGCCACCCACGACGCCCATTTCAGCCAGCGTTCCAACTGCAGGACCGCTGCTCATATGTCCAGGCACACCACCAACAGGAGGAGGCAACCAAGTGGCAGCCTCGCCCAAGCTGACAACACCGCCACAGCCTCAGACGAAGCCCCCACCGCCAGCCACTGTTGTGGGCAGCCCCTTCATCGAGACGCGGAACGTGTTTGAGCTGAGCACCTCGAACGAGGGCAGCGGCTACAGCTCGGGCGAGTCCAAGGACAACAAACTGGAGAAGCTGGAGAATGTAAAGATTCTGCTGGCTGGTGCAGCGGGTCTGCCCTTCGATCTGGATGCGGTGAAGTACGAGCAGAAGACCAGTTCCATAGCGGACAAGGTGCTCAAAGCCATAAGCCAGAAAAAGGAGGAGGTGGAGAACAACAAGAGCAAGCCACCGCCACATACGGAGGCCCCACCAACCACAGGCACTGGCAAAGCCACAGCCGCAGGCCCTACTCTGTTGCTGCCCAAGCTGCTGCCCGATATGGAGGCCAACACGCCCTTGCTTTTGCCCAAACCAGAGCCCTGCACCAGCACCAAGCTGGAGGCACTCAAGATGTTGAGTGAACCGCTGAAGATCCAGACGGGACCCCTGCTGGGGGAGCTGTACAGGCCAGGACCGGCCACCAATAGTCCAGAGACCAAGTCCATACTCGACTCGATGCCGGCCAAGAACAGTGAGCTAAGCGAAACGATCCAGAAGCTAGAGTGTGCCATACAGCAGCGCAAGACGCCCGTGGGTGGCCTCTCGCTGGCCAGCTCCACGGCAGGCACTCCTCCAACGGCGCACACACCCAACTCGACGGTGACTGTGGGCGTGGGCGGTGGCTTCTCCGACGAGTCCATGGACAGCACAGACTCGGAACAGCGGCTGGTCATCGAGGATGTGATTGTAGAGGATCACACCACGACCACAACGGCCGAACAGAAGAGTCCCGGCTCCCAGGAGGAATTGGCCGAGACCATGGACAGGACCATCAGCACGCCCACGCCGCCCGTGAAAATGGAACTGATGGGCAGCAAGCAGCTGTGCAGCAGCGGCATTCAGGCGCCCATTGCCCTCAAGCTGGCGCAGGCAGAGACCAGCTCCAGCTGCAGTTCGTTTGCGGGAAAACTAACAGCGGTCACGCAGCCACCGCCGCTAGCGAAGCTTCATCAGCAGCACCCAGCAGAGGACAGTAAGATGGGTACACTGAGCTCCTTCGGTATACCCATTGTGCTGCCCAAAATACCCGCCTCTGTGGTGATGGCCACGCCATCCATAATGATACCCGCCTTCACGATTCCCATGGAACAAGATCAGGATAGTCCACCCATAATGGCGTGCACCTCCAGTCCGGCGTCGCCCTCGCCGCCAACTGTTTCTCCCGAACTGGGCGACAGACTGGGCAGTGGATTGCTCCTGAAGACGTACATAGAACCGGAGTCTGAAGCTCGATCCAGCTATCACCACCACCAGCAGCAGCAGCAACAGCAGCAGCAGCAGCAGTCGGCGGCTGTCCAAACTGAGATTGTGCTATCCAATGTGAACGTATCATCCACCAGCGGGGGATGGAGCGACACAGCGCCCGTGGTGGCACGACCATTTGTGATGCATGCCGTCAACAAGGAGATGTACAATGTGGTGGCCAATACGACGGCACCAGCAGCCAGCTCGCCGCTGATCAATGATCCACACAACGAGTCGATCAATCTGCTGTGCGAGGAGACAATACCCGGCAGTCCGGCACCCACCTATGGCGGAAAGGATGAACAAATTCCCGCCACAGGGAGCTCTGCTTTGGCCATTGCAGGCATCACGCCGCTGTCGCCGGACACCCCACCACCGGGTGCCATAGGCCAACTGCAGGGCACAACAGGGGCCCAGCAAACCGTAGGGGAGTCAGCCATGGGTGGCGTGGGCGCGTCGGCGGCAAACAGTTCGCCGGACTCGGCAAGCCAGGAGGATGAGAGCAGCGAGGAGACCAAGACGAAGCATCTGGAGAACGAACTGGAGGGCTTGGGCTTGGGTGGGACACTGCGCAAGAGGAAGCGCGCCAGCAAGCAGACCCAGGCGCAGATCAGTGCCGTTGCGGCACAGCTTCAATCGCTGAGCAAACGACGGCGTCAGGTGTCGGGCATGAGAAGCAGCAAGACGACAGCCACAGTTACAGGTGAGTGGGAGAGCCTGAGGCTGCCTTTCTGGCAGCTTTGACTTGGATCTAAACTCAAATACCATTTCCATTCTGCAGCTGGTTCGGATACTGATGACAATTCAGACCATTTGGTGTCCAACTTGGGGCCCCAGCAACAGCAGCAGCCGGCACAGCAGCAGCTACGTCAAAGTGGACGCCAACAATTGATGCCTTTGTGCAATACCCAACAGCAGCAACAGCAACAACAACAACAGCAGCAGCAGCAGCTCCAACAGCAACAACAGCAGCACCAACAGCCGCAGCTGCAACAGCAACTGCAGCAACAGCAACCAACTTCGAGCACTCAATTGGGCGTACGACCCTGTCCATACAACTTTCTGGTTGAATTGGGTAAGCATAAGCTATAGCCCTCGCGAAATATGTGCAGTCTCTCATTGAATCTTATTCCCCATACAGATCGCTCTTTGAGCTCGGATCAGTGCATCACAATTCTGCGCAAGCAGATACAGGATCTGCGCAAGGCATACAACACCATCAAGGGCGAGCTAGCTGTCATCGATCGCAGGCGCAAGAAGATGCGACGACGCGAGCGCGAGAAGAAGCAACAGCAGCAGCAGGGCCAGACGCAGGGCAAAGTCTGCACCTGATGGTCGGAGAGGGAGCGTGAAAGGGAGCGAGAACGCGAACGAGAGCGCGAGCGAGAGGACGTGGAAGTGGATGTGGACGAGGACGAGGACACCCAGTAGGAGGTAAGAAACTCGAAACAGGAAGCTGAATCATGAATCAGAAGAATCGAAAAAAGAAGACAACTTGAATTGCGGTCATTATTAAAATTAAGCTAAATTAAAAATTTTAAAACTATTTAAAACAAAATATATACAAAAACATATATATATACATATGTATATGTTTTTTTAAATGTCTTAGGCGCTGTTTATACAACAAAAAAATAAATCTGATTAGGGTTTTTGAATGCATATATATACACATACACATATATCTATATATATATTTATTTACAAATTGTATATAGACTCTGTCATATTTGATGGCTGATTATAAGAGACAAAATTGCGTATTTAATGGAACACAATGTACCCGGAATATGGGGTATTTGTAAATGCAACAATATAAATTGTCTAAATTAGATTTAAGCAAATTAGATTTTTAACACTTTTAGATAACGATTCAGCAAACATTTTGTTTGTTTGCTAAACCGGGCTAAGCACTAAACCAAATTGGGTGTATTTTTTTAAGGAAAACCTTTTACGCAGCCTATATTCTGTTTTGGTTTGTTTGCTGAATTGTAAAACGTAAAGTAAATTGATTAAATGACACAAATGTTGTAGCAAATTACGTACATACATAGCATGTAAATATTTAAGTAGATGTAGGCACGGAAATTCCGTGATAGGTATAGATACTAAAATATATTCAAATAAAACAGCTGTACATACATCATTATAAGATTGCAAAACTTGCTTAAATCCCCGACCAGAGGGCATGGCACTCTACAAGTAAATGAATACAAAATTCATTTATAATCTGAGACTCTGATTAAAAAATATATATATTTTTTTTTCTCATTTCGTATTCATTAAAAAAAAAAAAAAGCCAGGAAACTCTGAAAAGCAATATTTAATAATGGTCAAAAGATTATTCATTTAATCTTATGTACCACAGTACTAATATACCCGGAAAGAAGGGTATTACCAAAACTAAATTTTAAAATAAAAAAAATAATTAACAAAAAAAATGTATATAAATGAATACAAAATGAACTCTACAATGAATGGTATATATCCTACATATTTGTATAATAAAAAAATAGGATAAGGCCTTGCTTATATATACTATTATATATCCTATATAAATTGATTCAGCAATCTTTTGTTGCTGAATTATAGATCATTATAATGGCTCCGAAATGGAGTTAATATTAAGTGTCGAGTCGAACATTATAAATTACTTGGTGATGCAAGCAGGGCAGAAGAATTTTAACTATTAATATTAAATAGAGCAGAGTACATAGATATAAGTATTTACGAAGCACACACACACACACATGTATGTAGGTATGTATGTATACATATATATCCAAGAATTCAATCAAGTTTTTTATAGATTGTAAGAGATACAAAATGTTTTTTAATAGAATCTAAGCAATAATATCTTAAGGCCTTGAATTGAAGTTACTTGCAAATATATCATTCAAACTGCTATCTAACCCTGCTGTGGAAGAGTTTTAGCATGTGAAAAAAGATTCAAATGCATCCTTTAGTGACTTCTTAAGCTCTGAAGAAACTTTCAGAGTATAGTACAATGGTATAGTTACATATGCGTCCATCTATGCATATCCCCCCCATTCGTGAGATAATGATAGCTCTGTGTGACAAAATGAATACTTTTGGAATGTACTTTGTAGGCCTGGGCTTGAGTAGATCCACACATCCTCATACCTAGAATACTTTTCAATAAACTCCCAAACAGCATTTTGCCCACTTTCATAGTTTTCACTCGGCATTTGCACTCGCCGACATCCTAAACAATTGTTGGGTTGAAAATAGAATTGTGTGACCCTTGATAGGATTATTAATGCGTGTCGATACGGTGCCACTGATTGCCATTCAAACTTAGTTGCTGTATTGTGCTTCTGCTGTATTTATCTAAGGGAAGTTCAAGCTAATAACTTTCAAAGCTGTGCAAAGAAACTTATATACATATAAATTTGCATGTTTAACCGCCGTTAAACCCCATATATGGGTATATACTATAGATACATACATATACATATATATACAAATAAATTGCATGCCATTTAAACGCAAGTGAAATTATTTCTTGGGGAGCCTCTAGGACACCGCATAGCCGCCCTCCAGCAGAATGTGATGGCCATTCACAAAGCTGGACTTGTTGCTCAGCAGATAGCCAGTGGCATCGACAACCTCCTGCACCTCACAGAACCGATTCAGCGGAATGTGGGCCAGCAGTGGTCCACTCTTGCCGGGATCCGACCAATTGTCGCGCCCCATTTTGGTCAGCACCACAGTAGGATTGACCGAATTGACGCGTATCCTGCGAGGACCCAGCTCCAGAGCCAATGATTTGGTCAGCGAGTCAAGGGCCGCCTTGGTGGCGCTGTACGCTGTATGACCAGCAAAGCAGCGCGATGCAGCTATCGAGGAGACATTCACAATGGAGGCTCCATCACGAAGCCTGGGCAGCAGGGCCTGTGTCACATTGAACACAGCCTTGATGTTCACATTAAAGTGCCTGAAAGCGACAAAGTTATGAAATGTTTATTTTCGAAAGAGATCCCCTTCCGCTTACGTATCAAAGTCCTGTTCGGTGAGCTCCTCAAATGGCTTAATGATGGCCACTCCGGCATTGTTCACCAGTCCATCCAAGAGTGGTACCTTGGCCAGGGCCTCTCTCACTGGCTGCCACTCGGTGAGGTCCAGCTGCAGGGGCTGAATGTGCTTGGGGTCAAAGGCGGTTAGCTCCTTGAGCTGGGTCTCGCTGCGTGCCACCGCTATGACAGTAGCCCCCGCGCCGGCCAGCTCTCTGACCAGCGCCTGGCCAATGCCCGCTCCGGCGCCCGTTACCAAGATCACCTTGTTCTTGAGATCGTCCCACATGATGATGTGCGTAATGCTGATCTCTAGCTGCCAGTTGTGTTGCTGTGGAAAGTTCCACTCTTTGTGTTTATGGGGATCGTATTTCGTATTAAGAACTGGAATTGATGTTTACACCTTATCGCTCTAATCTGCTAGCGGTCACGGCGAAAGCTTTGCCAAGACGCGAGAGCTTTGGATTGCGGTAGGTAGGGCGTTTAAGGTCGTTTCTTATAAATTAAGAGATTCACTCTCAGCAGCTTTAATCAAATCAGACCTGTTATAAAAATGTATAAATAGAGCCGCCTTTTTCCGATAAGCGATACCAACGTCAGTCGATAGTTTTGCAAACTTTTCTCTGATTTGATCTGCTTCAACTAATTTTTTTTTAAACAGATTGCTTGGCTAATAGCTTGTACTAAAAATGTATATTTAATTGGAATTTCGTCAAATATTTAAACATTTACTGGCCAAATATCGTTATGATCGATGTTTTCAGCACATGCCGCCCTGCAGCCGGCAGCCGCTTTCCAATACTAAACGGACACCGCTATCAACAAAGTTCTTTATTTTATTGCATAAAGATTTCATAAGCAATTCACTAAAAAGAAGTCTTCACAGTAAACCAATATTGTAGAAAACTAATGTATCTATCGGCTAAAATTGCAAGTAAAGTGCTGAGTGTCCTCGCTAGCTACTAATATTAAACCGAATATCAAAATCGGGGAATATGATTTCCAATCATGGACTGAGAACAATTAGCCCATTGTCGACCAGTGGTAATTTAAATACCCGACCTCAAATGATAAAACTTGAAGAATTTTAACGCAGCTCAAGTGAAAGATATCATGGTAATCCTTTTTTGTAATTAAAGAGCAACGTTGAAGCTACAAGGAACATTTAAAAAAATAATTTTTTTCCGTGTTTTGACTCATGGTGTTCATCTGTTTTAATAGAATGGGCTTTAGTGGGCTAAGTTCGTTTTTTCCTCAGTATATTTTTAAAATGAGAAAGTATATTTCAGTATATTTCTGAGGTCAGGCGGTACATTTTATCAAAAAATTCGCGGTCACATTGCCGCTATCAACAAAGTTTTTTTATTTAAATGCATCATTTTTGACAAAAACCACTGCAAGAAATGGCGCAAACGAAACTCACAGGTAGCTAACATGTCCTCCCAAGCTTCTAGCAAAACCCTAACAGCATTCCATTCCATATGTTTAGCAGCAAAGCGCCCCAGGCTGGACAACAGGCCGGCAAATTTACATGAAGACGATGGTAAGCTAAGTGCCTGTGAATGAACAGCCTTAATTGTAATGATGGTAAACCGCTCTTTCCCACCATGCAGAGACGCCGTCCGTGTTCAATCCGAAGTATCGGGTGTGTCCCTACCTGGACACGATCAACAGGAATCTGTTGGACTTTGATTTTGAGAAGCTTTGCTCCGTTTCGCTGACGCGGATCAATGTGTACGCATGCTTGGTGTGTGGAAAGTATTTCCAGGGACGCGGCACCAACACGCACGCCTATACGCATTCGGTGGGCGAGGCGCATCATGTTTTCCTCAATCTGCACACACTGAGATTCTACTGCCTGCCGGACAACTACGAGATCATCGACTCGTCGCTGGACGACATCAAATACGTGCTAAATCCGACCTTCACCAAACAGGAAATAAGCAAACTCGATCTGGTACTGCCCAAGCAGTCGCGCACCGTCGACGGCATCCTCTATCTGCCCGGCGTTGTCGGCTTGAACAACATCAAGGCCAATGACTACTGTAACGTGGTACTGCACGCCCTCTCTCACGTGGGCCCGCTGCGGGATTACTTCCTGCGCGAGCAGAACTACGCAAAGATCAAGCGGCCGCCGGGCGACTCGATGTTCACCTTGGTGCAGCGCTTCGGCGAGCTGATGCGCAAAATGTGGAATCCGCGTAACTTTAAGGCTCACGTATCGCCGCACGAGATGCTGCAGGCGGTGGTGCTTTGGTCGAGCAAGCGCTTCCAAATCACAGAGCAGGGCGATCCCATTGACTTTCTCTCCTGGTTCCTCAACACCCTCCATCGGGCCCTCAAGGGCAACAAGCAGCCAAACTCCTCGATTCTGTACAAGATTTTCCTAGGCGAAATGCAGATATTTACGCGCAAAATGCCGCCCGTAGAGCTGGACGATGCGGCCAAGGAGAAGCTGTTGGCCACTGAGGAGTACCAGGATCAGGTGGAGCACACAAATTTTATCTACCTCACCTGCGACCTGCCGCCGCCACCACTGTTCACCGACGAATTCCGCGAGAATATCATACCGCAGGTGAATCTCTACCAGCTGCTGGGCAAGTTCAACGGCAGCGCCGAGAAGGAGTACAAAACCTACAAAGATAACTTCATGAAACGCTTCGAAATCACCCGATTGCCGCAGTTCATTATCCTGTACATCAAGCGGTTCACCAAGAACACATTCTTCTTGGAGAAGAATCCCACAATTGTCAATTTTCCCATCAAGTGAGTATGGCTGGCCATTTCTTGGAGCATTCATTAATCTCTTGCCTCGCCAGGAACGTGGACTTTGGGGACATTCTGGGCATGCGACAGCGAGACAAGGATGTCAAGGATACCAAATACAATCTAGTGGCGAATATTGTCCACGATGGTGACCCCAAGAAGGGCACTTACCGCGCCCACATTCTACATAAGGCCAACGGGCAGTGGTACGAGATGCAGGATCTGCATGTCACCGAAATTCTACCCCAGATGATCACACTCACCGAGTCCTACATTCAGATCTACGAGCGCAGTTCGGATCCGTCATGATCCATGCCCTAACCCCTCTCTAGTTTATTATTTGTACTGAAAATACCTCCCTACCATGAGCTAGAAATACAAGCTATAGTCCTTGTATTTAATACGATATTTGTTTCAAGGCAGAGAAGACAAAAGTCTGCCTTTGTGTCTCTCTTTTTTGTGGCTGCTGCTTTCAGCTGTTCCATCAGATGGCTGTTCCATCCTGCGCATGCCTGGGGCCTCCACAATGCTGTACAAGGGGAGCAAACAAAAAAAAATCGATGTTATTGCCAGTCGGTTGTCAGATTGTTTGGTTGCAAGATGTCCGATTTGCAGCAGCAGGGTCAGCAGAACAGCAACAGCTACGAACAGGAGTGCCAGCGGGCAGAGCTGCTGGGCCTGCAGGCGCCCGACAAGGACGAGTTTGAACGTAGACGGCAGGCCCGCCTCGAGCAGGAGCAGGCCGATCACGATGCAGCCGAGGCAGTGGTAAGTCTCTGTCTCCCCCTTTATGAATGCTTGATGGAATCCTAAGGCTTCTTCTGTACGCCCCAAAAGCTGCTGGAGCAACAAGACGAGTCGTTGGGCAATGTCGGCGGCAAGCTGGGTGAACTGAATAGCATATTGTCTAGCACGCAGCAGAGACTTAACCGTTTCAAGCAGACGGCCTGCGGCAGTCTAACCAACATCTTTGCTCGACCCAGCTCTGGATCTGTAGATCTTTCAACATCAGCTGGGGGAGTCACCGCTCCGGAAGAGCGTGCTCCTGTGCAAGAGCAGCCGCGGCCCCCACCCACAGCGGCCGAGGTGAGCGCAGCCAAGGCGGCAAAGCAGCAGCGCATGGACTCACAGCTGGACAAACTGGATGCGTTAATCAACAAGGCGGACAACGCCCACATAGCCATGAGCGAGCAGACGCAGCAGATGCGACGCTTGGCCAAGTGAGGCACGAAGTCGAGGAGTCAAGGTGCGTGTGTTAACATTTTTTTTATTTTGTACGAAATTTGTTTGGGTTTACAATGAATACATCGGATCTTCTGCATCTTCTCTACGTCTGTTAGCTCTGATCCTGGCCAGCCTTTTGTCCTCTCTTTCTTTGGATAAATGAGTTTCGGTTGAGTTGAGATTACCCAAAAAGCGTTTTCAATCACATGCAGGAGGACAGTGCGGTGTGCGCTTTACAGCCTAGAGACAGACCGCCTCTCATTTTGATGGATCTGCTCTCAAGCCCAAACAAGTCGCTCGCTTCTTTTCCTTATTCATGTCCTGCATCGTTTGATTTGCCTCCACTACTCGTATTATATCATATTCATAGCTTACAACAGTTTTTTATCGTTACTATATATCTCGTTATAAACTATATCAAAAGTTTTTGTGTCCAGATATTAGTAAATAATATATAGAATTAATTTTATATAATACATACACTGTATTCAATTTAAAACGTCGTTTCCGTTCTTATCTATTCAGATAATTATGTGAAGTAATGTGAAATTTGGTTTCTCAACTTTCTTCTTTTATTTCTTTTCTTTTTCTTTAAATTGAAACTTTAGAAATATGCTTTTTTCTCATCTCTCATTAATTTTTGTATATATATATTTGTATATTTTTTGATTTTGTTTTATTATTTTACTTATTTTTTTTAATGCTTTTTAATTTTTTTCTTAATTGAAACCAAATAAAGTATTATTTTCTTTCATGGATTTGTGGATATTTTTTTTTGGTTTTTCTCTCGTTGAAATAAGAGAAATTTTGTTGGTTTATCGGAACATATTAATTTTATAAAATATATTAAAATCAAAACATTTGATTTTTGATTCTTTCTCAATATTAATATTAAAAAAAAAATATTTTCTCTTTTCACATTGTTTTTTCGCTTAACTAACACTACTTATATTTACTGGTTTTTAATTTTTTTTATAATTTTAAGGTTTTATATTCTCTTTCAATGTGTTTTTTGGTGTTTAATTATTTGTATGCTTTTTACTTTTTTTTTTTTTGTAATTTCAACTAACAAAAATATTTATTTCTCTTCTTTTCTTTGTTTCCAAAAACTCATTAAATGAATTAATGTATGTATTTTTCATTTGAAATATTTTCAAATATTTTTTGATTCGATTAACTTAAGTATTTTTATTTTGTGGTTTTTCATCAAATATATAAATTTGATGCATGGTACAGTGCGTTTCACAGCGTTAGGAGACATGAATGGACATGCATTCAAAAAAAAAAAAAACATGAAAAAATAACAACGAAAATATATCCAGGAATCACAGCCACTGGTTGTATGGCCATGAAACGCACTGCACTAGCTGGACTAGCATAACTTCCACTTCCAGTACTCTTCCTCTAGCTAATACTTGTTGAGAAAAACGTTTGTAAAGGTTAAATAAATGCGTCAAATATAACAAATTAAAAAAATTCAGCTTTAAGAACAAAAAAAAGCAAACAAAAATAGAGTAACAGAAGCTCTGCTCTGCCTCTCTGTCTGAAAAAATAATGTTACGAGAATTAGTTTGAGGAAGCGTCGTCTGGCAAACGATCCTGGCTCGGATTCGGCTCCAACTCGGCTAAGCGCTGGCGGCCAGACTTATTCTTGGCCAGATTCAGGCGCGACTCCAGCAGCCACTTGAGCAGACGCTTACGGTTGGACTCTCCATCGAGCACGCTCGGCAGGGACATGGCACGTCTGAGTCGTGGGCTGCGCTTGCGGCCGGAAGTCACGCTGCCCGGATCCGACTGTTCGTCATCGCTGTCGCTGCTGTGTGCCTCTGTGCAGGGTATCTTTGGCGGAGCCATTTTGACGCTGCCCGGCTGAGCCTCGTTCTCGTAGATGAAGTAAGTAACGACGAGATTTTCTGCCATCACATTGTGGCGCCACTCCTTGGGTTGGTACTCGGCGTTATGTTCGAGGCGCTGGCGCAGCTCCATGAACATTTCGGGGGAGATTTCAAACTGAGAGACATCCTGGTGGGCCTGCCAGCGCTGCACAGCCGGCGGCTCCGCCTCGCAGTCCTCGACGATGCCGTAGCTCAGCTTGATGGCATAGTAGCCGCGCAGCTCGGGCGCCTTGCAATTGATGCGACGCAGCACTCTCAGCTGCGGCTCCACCACACGCAAGAGCATATACTGCTTTCGCTGCGAAGTGGGAGAGGCGAACAGCACGGCGCGGCTGCCCGTCAGGTTTATCGATGGCAGCACATGGGGCCACAGGGTGTTGAACAGGCGCAACACCAGCTCCGTCATAGTGGAGAACTGAAAGAAGTGACGACTGGCTGGCGGCAGTACGTCTGATTTCTGAGCCGACGGCAGCCAGCGGACGGCATCGGCCCACAGTCTGGCCGCTTCACCATTGAAGATGGCCATGCCCAGGAAACGCATGCAGCGCTGGCAATGCAAGTGTTCGCCACGCTGCACAATGTTGGCCAGATTTACCATCCGTATGATCACGTTGTTCAGCCCGTAGAAGAGGTCTCTCTCGCCTGGCAACAGGCTGTAGGGCCTGTCCGGGCGCCCCGTTTCATTTCCATGGCCGTGACCGTGACAAAAGAACTCATTCGGATCCACAATGCAATTGGGAAACTCACGCATGCGCGTGTAGATGCGCAGCGGTGCGACCTCTGCCTGGCAGCCCACGCATTGGATCGCCAGGGATTCATTCTCGCGGCATCTAAGGAGTAGCGGCTGCATGAGGACCCTTACCGTGCGTTTGTCGAGGGCAGCCATGGTTATATTGTTGAAACTAAAGCGAAAGCTCATGTTTTTGCCACTCAATAAGAAGCCCGACAGGCGGCCGAGATCCATATCGAACTCGTTTACACGCATGATCTCGGTGTCGCTGCTTTTTCCCATTACTCGGTCGGCAGCATCAATGTAGATTCTCTGCTCCATGATGAAGACGCGCATGCTGCGGGCGTCGCTGGCATTGCGATGCAGCTGGATATACACTTGGCCACAGTTTAGATAGGGGCGAATCTCGATGAGTACGCCCGCCAACATTTTGATCCTGTTTTTTTTTGCACGGCGTCACTAAAGTACGCGTTTTGGCGGCCGTTCCAGGTATTAGAGCTGGGAAAAAATCGATTCAAACATCGATATAATCGATTCTTTGGTTTTGGTGTAAACATCGATTCTTGTTTTGGAAATCGATGTTTGTTTGCGACCACTTGAAAAAAATTCCATCTCCAATTTACCACAATTTAACGGGAACTTGAGTGAAGCAAAAGGGTAATAGGCCGTTTACACTGGAGCTGCGTCATGCTTCTTTGCGTCTTGCCGCAGACGCAGTTTTTTTTACATAGGTTAAGCATAGGGCCCTAGTGGTGGCAAAAAGTTGCGTCAGTGTCTGATTCATGTGCGTCTATTCGATATATTCGATTGCTTTTGCTAATTTTTGGTATTTTCTGCCTATCAGCGCAACTATCACCACTAATAACAACAAAAAATTGTAGATCAAAAATCAAATTTTGGCGCTAAAAATGTATGATTGTGCAAAAAGGTGAAAATATACATAAAGTCATTAAATAAAATACTTGAAACTGATTGTATTATTATCATATGAAATTTTTCTGACCCCCTGATGCCATTAAGACACTGCTGGAGACGAACTTCGGTGGTTTTCATAATTTGAAGAAGAACTCCCACAAACTCTACAATGAAATGTCTGAAAATAATATTTAAATATGAGAATCAATTCTTTTTCGTCCATTTTCCTGACGTCTTGCTTAATTCTGTTGATTTTCAAAAATTTGTGTATCTTTCCTTGTCATCAAACACCCAAATCCAAATTCAAGACGCACGTCTTCCAATGTAAACGCCTTTTCTGCTTCATTGCGTCTATGCCGATATCGATAGCAGACGCGCCCAGTGTAAAAAGGCTATGATGAGAGGATGTTCAGTCGAGCTGGAATACTCATATCAGATAGACGAGCCTCCTTAAAGGCTAGCAACGTAAACAAATTGTAATTTGCAGGCAGGAACCAGTGGGTTCTGGAGCAATAAAAGAAAACAATGGATCTAAAAAATAAATGTGTTTATATTCGATTTAATCGATTAAATCGATTAAATCGATGTTTTTGTCTAAAAGATTGAAAAAAATCGATTCTGCGAAAATCGATTTTATTCCCAGCTCTACGAGGTATGTGTGACCGCGAACACATCGATTAAATATACCGCATGACCCTCAGAAATATACCGAAATATATCTTCTCATTTAAAAAATAGCGTAAATATAGCGTTGAAAAATAAATTCCCAATTTTAATATTCGTTTTAATTGTGGATTGGTATCCAAGATTCTAAGATACCTAAGATTCTATGAAAAAAATGCTGGGAAACTTGTTTAATTTAAGCAGCCTTTGTAATCCAAGAAATATTAAAGAATTCACAGTAAATTGTATGGTCACTCTTCGTGTAGCAATATGAATGGTAAATTTTCTGCAAAATTAAAAAAGTTGCACAACATTTGGTAAATCGCAGCATTTAGTTTTGAATATATTACATCTGATATTTTACACTAAATGAATATTTTTCATATTCGTTTCGGTGAACTTGTTGCCAGTTCCGGTTCGAATTGCGGTTTGTGGGTTAAGTTCGTTCCTCACCATTTCGGTATATATTATGGTATATTTAATAAATTTGTTGGTATGTTGCTGAGGGTCAGGCGGGTATATCCTATCGATAAATCCGCGGTCACACTGGATGGCTGGCTAAAAACAAAGCCCCGTCCGTGTATTATTTAAAAAGTGTGTGTTAAATCAAACAAATCGTAACTCGAAGCTCTAATTAACATCGATTGGAACGACAATTAAGTGCTGAGTGCAGTTGAACAAGTTGAAACAATTTCTGGACACGGACAAACGGGGCAAAATAACGCAGAAGAAAAAAGGTTTTTTTTCTCAACGTTCTCTTTGAACGCATTTCGTTCACACATACAACCCACACACACACACGAAAAAGCAACGCGCAGCGCATATACACAAAGAAAGAAGGCAAAAAGGCAGTGAAAATCGACAAGCGTGTGAGCGAGAGAGAAGGAGAGCGCGCGCAGGTTTCGCGGTAAAGAGACACTCCACAGCAACACAACACAAGTAAAGTGAGTGAAGGAAGGATAAAACAGGAGCGCCGAAGATGAGCCAAAGCATAAAAGCGAAAAATAATTAAAGGTTGCCTGGCAGTGGTCGAAGGAGCGGTACTGTGTGGTGCAGCAGTGTACGGTGTGTGGAAAGAGTGAAACGGAGCACAGCGATTCCCCTACAAATTGGCCATTTTGGCGTTGTTCCCCTCCTCTCTCCCGCGACCATTCTTATTTTTGGCAGTCGTCGTCGAATCTCTCTCTCCCATTCTCTCTCTGTCTTTTGGTTTGGTGTTGCTCTCTCCCCCCCAGGCCACTGCTTCAGTGGGGGGTAAGAAAAATTCACATGCAACAACAACGACAACAAACAATAGCAGCAGCAGCAGCGTCAGAAGCAGCAGCAGTGGCAGTGGGAATCGCAGTCGCGCTCGCAGTCGACGCAGACACAGGCAGAGCCAGAGCCGCCGTCGACGAAATAAATGTATTTTGTACATATATACAATGAAAAAGAAATAGTTTTTAAATCAATTTAAAGAATTCTTAAACCCCAAAATATACAATAACGGTAAAATCACATCGCAAAGTAAAAGGAATGTTAAATAAAATGCAAAAGTCAAAGTAAAACAAACAACAACAAAAAGGAAAAACATCGTCAAGAACGCTCAACATCAAATTCGCCTTTTACACGATTTCAATTGAGCGTTAACGCATTCGAGAATTTCATCCATCCAAAAACAAGTAAAATAATATAATTAACAAATAAAATATATAAGCCACAAAACTACAAGAATTCAAACGAGCGCTCGAAGGAGAAGCAGCGCAGCAACACCCACACACACACACACACACACCCACCCACACACACCAATTACAATCTCAGCCTCACGCTGGCGAATCGCAGCGGCAGCAGCAACAACAGAGGAGGCGACTCCGGTGCCGGAGGAGGAGGGGACGGAGGACACGCAGGTCCTTCTGTGGCCACTGCCTCCAACCGAAACAACAACAATAATGGCGGGGGAGCAGGCGGAGGTGGTGGTGGTGGCGGTGGCAACGGAGGAGGTGCAGGCGCTGGCGCCGAAGCAAACGCCGGCGGTGGAGTAGGCGGTGGCGGTGCCAATGAATGGAATCCCGAGGAAATGGACCGCTTCAGCTTCGATGACTCCATCCGGTTCGAGGAGGACTCGCTGTGCAGCTGGAGCTCAGAGCCCGAATCGTTGTGCAACAATTGGCGCGGCTGGAAGAAGCCCACCAATGCGGCTGGCGGACCCGGTGCCGGACTCGGTCTGGGTATGGCTCCATTTGGATCGGTCGGCGGAATGGGAGCCGGCGCACCTGGTTCGTGCGGACCAAGCGGAAGCACTTCAGCTATGGTAACGATGTCAGCCTGCGGCAGATATCATGGTGAGTGGAAGCTTTTTTTTATTGGGATATAAACCCAGATCTGAAACTATAGTTTAGAACACACACAAAAATTAACTTTTTTTTTGGCGAAATTTAAATGTATTGTATTTTTTTATAATTTATATGTAAGATTTATATTTGGTGAGCGTTTAAATGGAACTAAACAATTTTAAGCTGCTTTTTCTTATCTAAATTAATATGTATGTATATATAGCTTGTCCGCTCTTATGTAAAGTTGAGCAGGATTCATTTGAGAGAAACTAGAGCTCGAACTCCTGCTCAGGTCCAACTACAAAGATGGAATTCGCTACCGATTGTAGAATAATTAGAGAAGGAGCAAACGCACCGCCGAAAAACCGAAAGTCTGTAATCCACTGTATTTATAATCCAATAGTCCTTGTCCTGAACTCGAGACGTACAAGGGAATGCATTAAAAGATAATGCTCGAGAATTCCAAAAACAATATGCATTGCGTGTGCATGAGGGGTAATGTTAATGCTTAATATTCGAGTTTTGTATACAAAGGTTTTTTTTTTTTGTTATTTTAGATGGACTGCTCCAAAATTTAAAAAGCCTGAAAACCGCTGTCCTAATCAGGGAGTTGACAAAATGGAGACTTACTCCTTCACTAGAGAAATCTGACTTGTCAACATATTTCCGTTAACTACCAATCAATGTTTTCCACCAACAACAACGGATATCAATATAGAAATAACTTCTTTGTGTTGTGGCATTGAAATACCGAGAGGGGTCGCTTATCTAGCTATTTTTCTTGTGATATGCGTGTACGGACAAGCCACTGTTCGCCAGGACTTATAGTTTGTTTACGTTTAGTAGATACTATCTTGCGTCGTGTACTAGAAGTAAAACTACAAATTCGCTTTGCTGTTTCTTCTCTTCGCGGCTCGTCGATGATCTGGCAACACTGCTCTGTGTGTCTGTCTGAAATCATACGCATGACCTTTTCTTCGCTCTTTTGTAAATTGTGTAAAATTGGCTTAAGAGCAACAACAACAACCACACTTACATTGAGTTTCTGCCTTGTACCTTGCAATTGTCTTGCCTGTTTTGGGGTCTGAGCCCTACCTTGTCTTGCCTCACCTATGTACCTTCTTACCTCAGAAAAAGAACAAAACAGCCCTGAAATATCCGTCCAATGTCCTCTCCTACTTATCGCTAAAGTCAAAATCACGACTTTTGTTAGTTACGTTTTTTGCCTCTTGTTTTGTTTCTGTTTCTTTTCTTGTCTTGTGGCTTATTACGTATTTTTTTACTCTGTGTGTGTTTTTTTTTGTTTGGGCCTTTCAAAGCTAGAGACTTTTTTACACTCTCTTGTATCCTGTGCGCCGACGCAGCAGCATTATCAGCATGTCATCTTTGACTGCGACTGCGCTGCTAGCTGCTGGTCTGCTTGCGTCTCATAGCTTCTCGGTCTTCGTTTAATTCTTTGTAAGATTTTTGTAGAGAGCGTCCAGTAGCCTTGGGGAGAGGACAACATACAGTGAGAGAGAGAGAGAAAAAGGGAGAAATATATGTAAAGCCATCTTCATGTAGTTTAGCAGATGGTGGCATGGTGTGTTAATATTGGGTGAGATATTTCGAAATATGATAATAATAGGCAAGGTTCCTGCAGACACATATCTAGAAGAGAGTGTAGGCGAGAGAGAGGGAATGCATGGCTTTTTATTAAGACACCTCGTCAGAGGGGCAATCATCAATCAAAGGTGTATTTACACTTGAGTGAGAAATTGCAGAGAAACTACTCCCAAGATAGCCATTCAAACAGGAGCAGAATTAAGAGTGAAAAAGCAAAAGCCGCACCTTCTAAAATACACCTTTCATTCGTTCATCCTCTCGTCTAGGTGTGTGTGTATGTGTGCGTGTAGGCAATGCCAGCTGCATTTTTATGCTCGAAGGACAATAACCGCAAAACGCAACAAAAACAACAACAAAATTGCCTCAAAATTATGTCGCTGCCAGTAGTGAAGCTGACGCTAACGTCCCCGTCTGTTTCATCTTCTTTTTCCCCTATCTTCTTATTCCTTGCCTGCTCCAGTGCTTCGTTGTGTTGTGTCAAAGAACCTTTTCAAGGATACCACCACAACACCGCACCGTACACACCCAACACCTGCCCGAGGGGGATGTAATAAAAATGAAGACATGAAGCGACATGAACGATTCCATTCTCCCTTTTGCAGACAGCCTGGATCACGTGAATAGGAGCGACAGGGAGAAAACTGATTTTATTTGATCCCCAGGATATATGCTTACATATGTACATATATTGTTGCTAAAAAACTTAATCTCAGTCGAACCTCCTCAGTCCAATAAAAATTCTCGAAATGCTGCGGGGATTGTTCCATTTGTTTCTAAAAAATATCTTTGTATATTCATTAATATGTTCAATATGCAACGAACCTACATAATTAGTTTGTATTACATTTTTTAAATAATATATTTTCAGTTTGTACATTGTACATATATGTACATATAAATATTATGTATGTATGTAGCATATTGTTATACATATATATTTTTTCGATATGTGACGACCCCAAATGAACCGTGTATCGGTCACGCTGCATTGCTGACAGTGCAACTCTGCGTTAGTGGGGGGCATGGCATGACATACGAGTATGTGTGCGTGTTAAGTGCTTGGCGTTGCCACATGTCATCATCTAATTAGTGGGTCGAGGGCTGTGTGTGTCAATTTCGAATTAAGTTTCGCTCGACCCAACGGGAATGCGTTCAGTTTTTCATACTTTTCGCTGTGCATATCAGTTTCGTGCACTTCCGCAGCCCCAACAATTACACGAACATATGCAAGACAGACCAGACCCACCACAGTACGCTAAACACACACATGGAAATTATGGTTTGCATTTTGACCTCTTTTTTCTCCTCAGTTTATCTCTCTGTTTTCTCTCGGTTTTTTGTTTTGTTTCTTTTTCGAGCCAAACTTTTTGTTCTGTATAACCTGAATTTGTCATGTCGAACAACAGACAAAACCCGAAACATGCAGGCAACACAAAAAACTTTGTTGAACATTACAAAAACAAAAAAGCTGAAAAACATACCGGGAATCGAATTCCGGCCCTTAGGGAGAGGGTCAGAACGCGGTCCTACCCAATAGCCCATATGGGATATGTAGTGTGAACGAGCATCATTTTCGGCACGACTACTATCTGCGGAGCCAGGGAACGTAGCAGTCGAAGGCTGTTCAATTTATGACGGGGATCGGATGCACAATCGTACTACAGAAATCTACAGCACCTCTTGCCCAACTTTGTTTTGGGAATTCGTTCCGTAATAACAAAAATAATTGGAGCATGAGGTTCGTTTTTATTATTACGAGTATTATTATTGTTACATTTCTTGTTCGTTGCAAATGGAAAAAAAATTGAAATGCATATGAAAAATCGCAAAGAGGAATAGGGCAAAGAAAGAGTAGAGCCGACCAGACCAGACCTGAGGCGAGCTGAAATAAATAGGGGAACAGTCAGGAGAGTACCTGCATATAAAGAAGAACGGAAAACAATACAAAACAAACCTGTTTGAAGCAATAGCCTTGAACCAGCTGAAAGAAACACAAACGAATCGGTTATTAAACCTTCTTGAATCAAATTTTTCTGCTCATTCTGGCCGACTCCGCAGGGATAATGGAATCAGCATTAACTTCCAGGCCCAAGCCCGCTCCCCTACTTTAACTAAGTTTATTTTTCATTTGACAAATGCATTTAATTGTTTTATTTGGTATGTTTATATTTTTTGTCGTTTCTTTTATTTTTCTGTTGAGGCAAATGGAATTGAAATGAGTAAGGCTAAAATTGTTTTTACATTTATGGTGGTATGAGGTGTGTCTGTCTGTATATAAGGAGGGATTGGCATGAGCAATAAGTTAACGCTTGCAGAAAATGACTTTGAATAAAATGGTGCCAAAGTGTCTGAAAATTAAGCGACGACCACGACGCAAAACGACTCGTCGTCACGGCGCACGAACGGAGCGGTCTTGCAGCTTGCCCGAGTACGAACGAGAGCGAAAAATGCGAACGAACGAGGGGAAGAAAACAAACAAACAAACAAAACAAAGAGCTGGCCTGTTCAGTGCTGGCGTTTCAGCCTTTTTATGTCTACATTTTATGGGAAGCAAAGCAGCTTCTCTCCGAACCACTTCTAATTCAGTCTATCGGAGTATTGATGACTTTCTAGTAACACAAAATTATTTTTCTGAAGTTAGTAATGTTGTTACAAATAAATTAACGAGTCAAAAATTAATGAATTCGACGAGACCTGGCGTAGATATTTACATGCATGATATGTTCGATTTCAGCCGCTATCATGGACGGGGCCATCTCCATATAAATATGAGATTTCTTCCGAGGTCTTTGCAAACCCTCAATACTCTCCTGCCAAATATAAATCAAAATATTCCACATTTCAGCAGACTACTTCAACGTGCAGCATGTTGTTTTTTTAATGGCTATAAATATTCGATAATTGTCAAATGCAACCATAAATATTTGACATTCTCTCTCTCGTTTTTTTTTTCTTTTCTTTATCTTTTCCTCCCCCGTTTTTTTTTTTTTGGGGGGGGGGGGGGGCGGGCCCAAATTCAACTCCCCCTTCTGGCGTTCCCCCCCCCCCTTGGCCTAGAAACCCCCTTTCCCCTCCCTCCCCCCTTTTCTCCCCCCCCCCCCCCCAACAAAGAAAAACGGAATTCACTACGAAACTACTGATCATTCTTTGGGGGGATTTTCCTTTCCTCCTTCCCCCCCCTTTTTCCCAAAATTTACCCCCCCCTTTTTTTTTTTTTTTGGGGGGAAAAAAAAAAAAACAATGAAAGACAGGAAAATGGGAAAAAAACAACAAAACATCTGAATTGTCTCAGGTACACAACTCGGTTTGTGGACTATCCTCTGGGATCCTCTCATTTATGAATGCTCTGCAAAACTCATGAAGGATATTGCAAACGCTATGGGCTGACGGCCTTCCGACTATTC